GTGGGATGTGCGAGGCCAATGGATGCTCATAGACGCGATTGAGGCAATCCGATGGGCCTGGATCCTCATTAAGTATGCCTCCGAGACGGTCGTCAACAAGTACGTCGATTGGTTCATTCGTCTCGTACGCAAACATTCACAACGCATTAACAACGTGAAGAGCCTTTGGGAAGAATTCTCTTGGGACATCGCCATGCGCATGCGATCCAACGAGACCTTCCAAGCGATCACCGACGACCTCATCAACGACCTCACCAGAGTCAACGACGTCATACAACAACCGCTGTCGAAGAAGCAGCGATTCGGCAAAGGCGCCGAACAAACCCCGAAAGGGAAAGGGAAAGGATATCAGCAGAAGTGGTCACCTCCAGGACAAGGACGGCGATACCGACAACCATGGTCCAATCCGACCACACAATGGCGCTCATGGCAACCTTCGACACCTACGTGGACCACACAGGCCATGTCTTCTTGGCAAGCCACCCCGACACAAGCATGGACATCTCCTACGACGCCGACTTTCTTTACTCCGACACCATCACCGACCCTGCCACTGAACCCGGCTCCTCATGTATCTCCAACACGACCTCCTTGGAACGCGAAGGGAGACAAAGGCTCGAAAGGCGCCGGCAAGAAGGGCAAAGCCGGTAAGTCCGGCAAGAAATAGGGACAGCACGGCCCAGGGTCTGCTGACCCTGGAGCCGACCATCGACCGACAGAGTTACACGACCGAACTTGTACATTGTGCTACGAGCTGGTCGGCACCTTACCGGTGGTGCACCTGTCCTTCTTCGATGGTATCGGGATTGCCTCCGAAGCACTACGACGAATCAATGGGCACATCCTCCTGACCCTTTCTTGGGAGATCGACCTCGATTGTGCGCGGTTTACCTCACAACACTTCGGATCCATACAGATGGGGGACGTGACACAGTTCGACATCGAGTCCGTCGCGGAGCACATCGATGCTGCTACTCTCCATCAACAATACATAATGGTGATAACCGCTGGACCACCTTGCCCCGATTTTTCGAACTTGCGTCACCGACCCCCAGGCTCCGAGGGTACATCGGGTTGGCTTTTCAGTCACATGGTGGGCATCGAACACCAACTCCGGAAACGCTTCACTGGCATCGCCATTGAAACGATCTTCGAGAACGTGGTCCCTCACCCGGATGTTCACGACAACTTGCTCGAGCTCACATCGCCACTGAGTATGGACCCCATAGTCGTCGATGCAGCCGACTCCGGCATCATGCACCGGAAACGGCTGTGGTGGACATCGATACCTTGGAACATCATCGAGGAACGCCTTCCACGACTCACACCTTGGTCCTTGGACTGGAAACTTGAGGGAACATGGCACCGACTCCACAACCCGATCGCTAAGGAATTGCAGACACACATCAAGACGAAGGACTACTCCCTTCCCCCATGCCTCCATAGCGACAAGAAACTTTTTCACTGCTTGACTACACCATCAACATCGACAACGGGCCGAGATCCGCCGACACATCTCCGAGATCGCTCGACTTCACATGATGCGTGGCAACGATGGGAACAGGACAATCGTCGATACCCCGTGTGGCAGTACGAGGAGCAGTTCTTGGTGACATTACCAGACGGCACATGGTCTACAGCACCCGCCACACTTCGAGAACAACTTCAAGGTCTACCGCTGGACTACACCGATACACTCGCCCAGGGCGACGAAACCAAACGATGCGTTGCTTTGGGCAACTCTTGGCATCTCCCCACGGCAATTTGGATCATGTTCCTGTTGCTTCTCGGGACAGTCAACGCGACCATCCCCGACACACCACGATCTTCGGCTCTCCAACAGATTACTGCCTTGTGGCTACACCACAAAGTCCCTTTCGGTCCTCCTCCTCGTTCCACGACACACAACTACATGCCTCAGTTCTCCTGGACAGAACACCTCGATTGGGCACTTCATCGTGACACACACTTGGCCCCGAAGCCATTAGATCCTACTCTCGAGTGGTGCCTACAACATCGACATGTGTTTCACCCACTCGTAGATTTCCAGAAAGCGATCATCGCCGACATCCGCGAGCTCGTCGAAGACATGGAGGATCACACCATGGCCTGGTATTACACACTTCCAGAACACGTACAACGAGCATACCGACACAAGGATTCAGTCACACAGATCCCAGTACTCGTTCACTTACTACGACTGATCCAATACCCACAAACAGAGCTGATATATCGCGAACTCTCCGAAGGTTTCCCCTTGATGGGCAAGTTGACCCCAGGCATCAACTGGCACGTTCGACAAGACCTCAAATATCTCGAACCCACACCGATCGACGAGTTTGGTGACAAGAACCGACAGTACATCCACGACAAGATCGAGAAGAATTCCGTCGACGAACATTGGGAACTGATGCTGGATGAAATCCTGGCCGAAGTCGACATGGGACGCATGAACGGACCGTATCAAGCCCCCGACTGGTGGCCTCGAGCCGCCACAGTACCACCGAAAGGGAAACATCGAGCCCTGCTACCACTACCACACTCCGATCCCTACATCGCCATGGCTTTCAGCATCGAACAGACCGGCAGCGACGGCAACAACAAAGTTCGACGAGGCGAGGATTGGCGCCGGAGTGGCCACAACGCGACCTGCACCATGCACGACCAACCGTACCATCACACGCCCGACCATTTTATTTCTTTGGGACTCGCTACACTCCGAACCGATCACTCGAAACCCTTGTCTGTTTGGGGACATGACCACGACGGGGCTTATCGCCAACTCCCACTTCGTGATCCTCGAGAAGCCTATGTGATGTTGCTGACCCCGGACGGCCCAACACTGTGGAGCCACAATGTCCTTCTTTTCGGATCGGCCGCAAGTGTCTGGTCTTACAATCGATTCGGCGACATTCTCGTGGCCTGCAGCCGAACGATGATCTTGTCTCCGGCCATGCACTACGTCGACGACTACGGATCCATGGAAGACTCCGACCTCGCCAAAGGCAGCTTCGAGTCCTTCGAGGAGTACAACGGATGTCTCCAGATATCGATGAAACCCAGTAAACGTCAACCACCACAAACAGCACATCGTATACAAGGAGTCATCATTTCATCCGACGACGACAACTTGGTCCTCACACCTTGTCCAAAGAGAGTCGAAAACATGTGTAGACAAATCGACACACACCTGGCTACTTCGTCACTGTCCCCCGAACAAGCCAGGAAGATGGCCGGGAAGTGCAACTTCCTGACTGGGAGACTATTTGGCAAGGTGGGCCGAGCGGCCCTGAAGGCACTTTATTCTCGAGCTCACTCCTACTCACATGCCCTCGACAAGCCCACGCGCTCATCACTACTCGCCCTCAAGGACATCATACAGCACTGCCGACCAATGACGATACCACGTACACCGACCAAGACGACATACAGCGTCATCTACACGGACGCATACTTCAGGCTTGGCTCCACCATCTACAAGCCGGGAGACAACGACATCCCGAATTGGGACTCAAAGTCGACGTCCGACATCGAAAACGGCTGGGCGGCGGTTTGCTTCCACCACGGTGACGTGCGAACCGCCGCCTACTTCCAGGGCCGTCTTCCCTCACTACTCGTTCGACAGTTTGCCTCCGACCAGGCCTTCATCTACCTTCTCGAAGCATGGGTAGCGATACTGGCACCGTTGGTCTTCGAACCGTGGCTGGATCAGTTCTACGTTCAATGCTGCGACAACGAAGCCTCCCGACACGCCCTACTCAAGGGCGTCGGCAAACATCAACCTTTGAATTGCCTCATTGCGGCACATTGGACTTGGCACAATCGACGCAGTATTGCACATCGACTTGAGCGGGTACCCACCAAGGCGAACATCTCCGACGGGATCAGCCGCTTTGAGAACGTTCCGGAGTCTGAGAGCTGGACTAAACTCGATTTGCCTCTTCATGCACTGACGAGTAGGGCTGCGAAGATCATAGGAGATATCCATTTTGCTTCCTCGACGGGTTTTTCCGACTTACCCGAAATTCACCGATTGCACGATCATTTGCTTTCGATGTTACGCTAATGTTCTTTCGAGTGGCGTTCGCCTGCGATGGGAGGACGCGACCTCACTCGATGGGAACCAGTCGGTCCTCCCAGCGGAAGGAAAGATCAACACCGATCTGTAAGATCGACTACTTCGATCTGTAAGATCGAAGCGCAGACTTAACGCCACCGAAGCGGAAGCAGTTGGAAAACACCTCCGCTGAAGCCAGGGATTCATGGCCTTTGTGTGAGAATTTCGTTGTCGTGTAGCACACACTTGTTTGTGCGAAGTGACAACTTCATATCTCACTTAAACACCGAATCGGTCAGGGGATTGACTCACCGATTCATGTCGAATGATTGTATACTCCGTGGCCATTTTGGCGAAAGCTGTTACAGCTTGAGCGAAATTTTGTTTCACCCACCCGTCCCGACCCTCTTCGATATTACTTTAATTTTCCTCTGCTTCCTGTCTGCGAGCACCGCCTGGGAACCAGTCGGTCCTCCCAGCGGAAGGAAAGATCAACACCGATCTGTAAGATCGACTACTTCGATCTGTAAGATCGAAGCGCAGACTTAACGCCACCGAAGCGGAAGCAGTTGGAAAACACCTCCGCTGAAGCCAGGGATTCATGGCATTTGTGTGAGAATTTCGTTGTCACGACAATAATCTTTATAATAGAAATACACAGAAAGCATATAGATAGTAATAATAGAGGCTTTCGTGTCTCCTGCATCTATACTTGCATTCGGTTAGTAGACAATGGAAGAATGGTAGTAATAGTAGTTGTAATTGTACCCCATTCCTCCATTCCCTACTAACCAAAGGTAAGTTATAAGATTATTAAGGCCCCTATATTATAGTACCCTTATGGATCCCTTATAGTAACCCTTATAGAAAAGAGAAGATTCCTTTAAAGGAATCCTAAAGGAACCCTAAGCCTTGCGGGTTTCCAAATGCTTCCGAGCCTGAGGAAGAGTGCGACGTGCTTCTGCTCGCGCCTTCGCCTTGTCTAGCAAATTCTAAGGTTTAGGGTTTAGGGTTCGGTAACCTACTTCTTCTGACCGTGTTGAATCATGATCCTTATCTCAGAGTTCAGCAAGTGATCACCTAGCCACGAGAGCTAGTGGGGTCGCATTTGTTGAGTGCTGTTTCCTTCGTATCTTCAGTGCAAGTGCGCTGATAACCCGGAAACACCACCCACAGGAGGCCCGGATGCAAAAGGGTTTAGGGTTTAGGATTTCAGGGCTTCAGAACTTCGGATGTTGGGCCGAAAGCCTTTGGCTGGAACCCCCAGGCTTTCAATGATGGTTGATGACCGCCCAAGCTTCCCACAACTCGATCGACCCGAGCTGCCGCATGCACTCCAAGCTAATATAGTCCTGAGCATTGAGAAAACTGCGAGGTACCACCCTTAAACCCTCAACTTATCTCTGCCGACCGCAGCGTAAGGTGATGAGCAAATACACGGACCAGATTCTTTTGCCAGACTTCCGCGCGGTGATGCTGGCAACATTGAGGCGAACCTGCTGGGAGAACGAATACACACACACACGCACACACGCGTACATGTATGATAAAACTGGGTTATACAAGTGTATATATGTATAGGTAAATAGACATGTAGCTATGTAAACATGCAAATATTTAACTATGTAGCTATGTAAATATGTAGTTATGTATGTAATTTTGTATGTAATGTATGTATGTATGTACGTATGTATGTATGTATGTATGTATGTATGTATGTAATGAAATGTAATGGAATGGAATGGAATGGAATGTAATGTATGTATGTATGAGCATATGTATGTACGTACATAAGTGGTATTGAAATGGGCCTGCACATCCAGATGCACGGTAAGAAGTTGGGGATTTCAGCACTTGCTCCTGATGTTGCAGGTCAGACTTAGGCTTTCTGAGAAGAGTCAGCACAAAATATTCCATGGGATATATTAGTTTTTAATAAAAACATACAATAATCAGAGCTTTTACGCAGTTTCTGACCCGCAACGTCGAGGGCTCCGGCAGCATCCTAACCTCGGCCGGGGTTTTAGTTTGAGGTTTGAAACGGTGCTGGAGCCGAAATCAAATCCATGAGCCCTGAACCCAAGCCTTTCTCCAACCGCAACCACTGGCACAAAGTAGTTCTGAATCCTACGTGTGGTTCAGAAGATGGCACTCGTGTAGGGAATGCGCCGCAGTAGGATCGCCTACTACCTTGAGCCCCCAACCCAAGAAGTCACCCTTCCACCGCAGGTCTCTCGCTCCGAAAGACTGGGACACCGAGCACGAGGCGGGAGCGTAGGGGTTGGTTGGGGTCTGCAGGGCTTATTAGGGCGTTCGGGCTTTAAGGGGGTTTACAGTGTTTACACCACCGCAGAACGGTTAAATGGGCGTATCAGATCATCAGAATGGTTTTATTGCTCTTGTTCTGATTTCTCGCCTGTCCTGGCCCAGAACCGAGGCTTTCGAGTGTTGAACGGCTTTGATGTTGCTTGCTGCCATGGTAGTGCCATTCTCAAAGGTAGAGTTTGCTTTTGCTGCGGTCTTTTTATAATTGGGTGTTTGCTATCGGACATAGTAACTAGTATGAAGGCCTGTGCGCACACAATCCGATGTGCGAGTTTCCGAAACTTAGGGATGCCTTCTTTTGGGGTCCTTAAAAAAAGCATCCCATTGTTTAGGGTACTGTATTAGGGTCCCCATTTTCGGAAGCTCCCATGTCTCACTATTCAGTTGCTATCAGTTGCTTCGGCGACTCTTAAGCACATCACACCTAATATTCATTAATGTAGGAACGTGATTAAGAAACCCTGGGCCTTTATTAGGGTTCCTTTTATGAATCCTACTATTTTGGGGGATTACAGGCCCAGGGTTTCTTAATCAGGTTCCTACATTAACTTCAAGTTCTTTGTTTGTGGCTGGTGGCCATGATCTCGCCAATGCTTCTTTACCCTCTTGAGCCATGAACGCCCATCATGATGCTGCTGCGGTGATGGTGGTACCCATCATGCCCAGGATGGCCGATGGTCATGTTGAGTTTGGGGGTAGTCGGCACAGTCTTGGCTATAAGTCAGGCACATTATGTGCCTTTCATCATAAATCGAGGTATGGTTTTCGATATGTTTTCGATGACGATGATGTCAACGTGAACTGTTGCTGTCAGCATGACGTTGATCGTTTATCTTGGCTGGTATTCCGGTTGTGATCACAATACGTGGTTAGAACGCTCTCAGAATCTGCGGGGGCGTTCATGCTCAGGGCAGTGACGTTGCCCCGCAGGAGATGTTGGTTTTCCTTGGCTGTAGCTCTTGATCTGGGGTATTTGGAACCTGTGCATGAGAAGCTGCCCCCACCTGTCATAGTGACTATAAGGATTCTATTAGGGCCCTTTTGATTCCTATTATACCACTACTACAGGGTGGGGGCCCGGGGATGCCAATCTAAGCACAGAGGGAGCCCGGCAGGATGCAGAGTAGAGCAAGGGATCGCGAGCGCAAGAGAGAAGGACCCCCCCCCCCCAAAGCCCCCCGAAAAAAGGGGCAGAACCCAATTCAGTTGAGAAGCTCCCTCCCTCAGACAAAGCGGCTGGACATTCTTGGATTTTGAGCTTCTAGAGCCTTCGGTTTTGAGGTCTTGGGGTTTGTTTCATGGCAGGTTTGGTAGACTTTCAGCCTGATGTTCTGCTCTGAGATTGCAAGAAGGAAGGGTAGGGTAGGTCGACGACCTCGCGTCAGATGTGCCGATGGCTAGGGTTTGTGACTTCTGGAGTTTCATGGCCGCCGGCCTTTGACGGCTCATCATCAGGAGAACGCACCGGAATTGCCAGAAACCTTCCTCTCCTGCGGTCTGAGTTTCTGCTGAACATTGCCAGGTGGCATGGAATTGGCTTTGGGAGAACGTCGAGCGAATCCTCAAGGCCCACAGGGGGTCACGCTGTGGAGTCTGCCCAGTATGTTGCCGTGTTCTCTCGACACAGGCGTCAGCCTGACTTCCTAGAGCCGCAAACGTAGAGCTGCACAGATATTTCCAGACACACGACCATACTTTTGCCCTCATGATGCAGCTTGTAAAGCACAGCTACGCGTGTGTAGGCATAACAGTAGATGTGCATACCAGCAATCTCGAGGACGGAGAACACCAGGGCAAATCCATTGGCCAAAACTATTCCTTTTGAAACATGTTCTACAATGAAACCGTACAGCCCCAGGGACAGCTTGGCAAGCCAAGAATATTGGAGCCCCCTGTCAGAGCTTTCCGAGTTGTTTTGTAATGTAACGTAAGGCAACATAAAGATGCCTTCAAAGGGGTTTCGGCTTTTTTTGGCTTGTTGGGGAGTCGCCTAAGCCCTTTTTTCTAAACCCTAAACTCTAAACCTTGGGTTTGTTTCCGGCTTTGGTTGTTGTGGGGCGGCTTTGGGCTGCCGTAGGGCCAAGGATACTGGGAGGGTCCATGAACTTTGGCATCTCAGAAATTTCCACTCGGGTAACAGTCATTCCGGGATAGGGTCTATGTAGGGTTTTGGGTTTTGGGGTTCAGGGATCCGGGCTCCTGGCATATGCATAGTCCAGGTGTAAAAAGGGATCCGGGCTTCTCGGTCATGCTCTCCCTCTCTCTCTCTCGCTCTCTCTCCCTCCCCGAGGTTTTGTTGCTGTCAGTTTCGTGCTTCTTGTATGTTCAAGAATTCCATGGCGATGTCTGATGTTGACCGGGTTGGTGGCAGCAGTAAACCCGATCAGATGTAGAGGCTTGCACTGCGCCTGTCTAGATCTCAAACCAAGGAGAGCGCTGACGCATCTGATTGCTAGCCTCACGGAGGAGCAGGCCACGACATTCCGGAAGGAGCTTGTGGGACCATCGCATAGCCGGCATAGTCGACAGTACCATGCCCTTTGGCTGTGGCTCGCGTTAGTTTTGCAGATCCTTCGGAACGGCGCTTTGATGCTAAGGGTGCCGCAATTGGGGCACCTTGATGAGGGCATCCCGCTACTGGCCGTCATTTTTCAGCACGGCATTAGGCCCGACACCTCCTTTTCAGCATCGTCGCCAGTATGGTTGTGTTGACGGATATGTTGACAGGCTGGCAGACAATACTTGTTGGCCACCCTTGCATAAACTTTACGTCGTGAGCTCTCAGCCGTCACCCCAAACTGGCTACGGCTCAAGATGTGATGTTCAAGGCAGCATCTGCCGCAGGAGTAGCCGCAATTCGCGCTCATGTCGCATATGCTGATGGGAAGTTTCCAGTATTTGCAGCAGACTCAGCAGACCATTCCACTGCTGCCCCGCTACCAAGCTGGCCACGATATGGCTTTGACCGGCAGTAGTAGTCAGTCCTCGACCACCACATGCACAAGCGATGACGAACAGTATGGTCCACAAGGGCCACATTTGCCGCTGCAGGTGATGAGCGTTCAGCACAGACTCGACCAGACTCGGTCGCATGACGTCCAACATTCTCAGAGCACTCCAGGCACCTATCAGCAGTGGATGGGGAGCTCCGAAGAGTGGACGACGGTGATGCTACGCAACCTTCCAGAATGCTTCTCTCGGGGGCGCTTGATCTACTTGCTCGCCAGGGAGGGCTTCGCCGGCACCTTCGACTTTCTTTATGTACCGCTTTGCTTCAGGGAGAAGGTCTCCTTGTGCTATGCCTTCATCAACTTTCTCGATACAGACACGGTGGCCCGCTTCTGGAGGCACTTCTGCGGTTTCAAGAACTGGGGGCTGCCCAGCGATCATGTCGCAGAGGTTTGCTGGTGTGCAAGGCACCAGGGGTTGAGTGAGGCCATTGAGTACCTTGAACTACCAAAACCTCATTCGTCATTTGGGGTTCCTACAAATGTATACATTCCATATTGGGGATCATGGGAAGAACGCACAAAAAAGTAGGTTATGAGAGTTTAAGGTACTACCAGAACAACAGCGTGATGCACCCCAGCGTGCCGGACGAGTGCAAGCCCGTGCTCTTTTACAGGGGCAGCCGGAGGTTTTTTCCGGCACCCACCAAGACGATCAAAGTTCCCAAGAAGGTGAAGCACACGAAGGACGACCGGGCCACTTCGCACGATCGGCAGCATCTCAAAGGACACTCCTTGGCAGCCGCCCCCTTGTTCACCTTGACCCTTTGATGTGAATTCCAGGCTTCTGTGAGGAGGGAAGTTCTCTTCCACACTACAGTATTAATCTTAGCTCAGAGCTTCTGTCAGTGTTGTCGTGAACAACCTGGTCTCATTCCTTGACCACTACCTTTAACCTCGGTCAATCTGTGAGCAAATCTCCTTTGAAAGCTTGCAGTCGGCCTCAAAGCACGCTGCGTGCGTCAAAGTCGAAGCCGTTTCACGCATGATTTGTTTGCACATGGTGGCCCAAGGACAGACAGTTGAGTGATATGCAGGCCTGCCCATGGAGGCAGCCCCTATCGCCCCAAAACTTAGCACAGCCACCACTCCCCTTGTGGAGATTTCAGGCCGGGTCGTTAAGGCGAGGTGAAACAAAGCTCGGAAGTATATTCTTTTGCCAGGCTAGAGAAATAAAATCATCGAGCTGGGTGCGCAAGAGAGCCACAGACCCGGCGCACCTGACCTTTGCTGTAACATGTAACATACAGGGGTCGGAATAACTATATACGTGGAATAGCTGTAATTATGCCAGGACCATCCCGTAGGGCTCCGTCTTGTTGTCACATCATCAAAAGAGTAATTAACCCAACCCCCATTCTAATGATCATGGCCCCTACATCCCACCCTTCTAGCATGCGTCATAGCAGCCCTTATCAGGAGCTTCGGTTGATGATATAAATCCTGCATGACCTTAAGGACCTAAAACTATGGGAATTATGGTATATTCCTTATTATGGGTAATGCAGGATTTATATCATCAACCGTTCCTGTCAAGGAGCCCTATGCTAGCCCAAAAGGCCCCTCTGTTCATATGAAGCCACGTTACGAAAGGAGGAGTAGATAGGGGTTCCTTTAAAGGGTTACTGTAGGGTACTGTAATCCTTAAAGGGCTCTTCAAGGGTCTTAGAGCTTCCGAAAGTTCGGAGTACCTTCTTCTGGGGTCCTGATAATAAGGATCCTACATTTTAGGTTGCTTACATTTAGGATCCCCTAAAAACGGAAACTCCCATTTTGGTTGTAGTATACTTTACTAATTCGAGAGTAAGGAACTCCGAGTTGTACTCCTAGAATAATAGCAAGGAGCCCTGAGGAATAGTATCGGTATGCGTTCCCTAAACCCCAAACCCTAAGCCCTACTAGTACCCTAAACCTTACACCCTAAACCCTACTAGTACCCCAAACTCTAAACCCTACACCCCTGCGAAGACGAAAAAGGGCCGTGTAAAAAAAAACCTACACCCCGTAACCTAGAATTCCTATGTGAAAGTTGTTCCGACCCCCCTATTTACTCGGCGGATCGCTCCGGTTCCTTCCGGGCAGATCACGAGCAAATCGGCCCTGGCTGCTGAGAAGCATGCAACTCCAATATACATATTTACATAAGCAGAAATGAATACATACGAATGTGTGTGTATATATATATATACAAATGTCTATACGCATAGTAGGACATGAACACCAGATACTACATCATATCTGACTTGCACCACTTGATACAACGAGTCTTTTCGCAGTTTGGGCCTTCTAGCCTTCTGGCATCAGGACTGACGGGTTTGCCGAGCAGCAAGCCTTGCAGCTCAGTCAAAGCTTCCACGCTTTTATAGCAAAATCTAGTGTATACATATAATTTATATGTACATAGTATGCTTTAGAATGTGTAACATAGGTTTTCGGAAGGCGAAGCCTCAAAGTGGAAGCCCCGAATCCGAATCCGCAGTCTCTAGTTCATCTGAAGACTTCTACAACAGCCGCGCCTGAGACGCCGCGCAGTTTCTTGGTACCTCGTTGGGTAGTGTGGGGTAGCCTTATCACTTGAAGGGAAAAGAGTTCTGTGTCACAGCAACTGCGTGCGTGGCTCAGCCATTATCAAGAGAAGGTTCACCCAGAGAGCCCAATACTCCTTAAGTAAGGAATATAGCTTGAGTCATAATATGAATCCCCTTAAGGCTTTAAGGTTTAAAGTCTTTTCCTTGATGAATCATCATATGAATCCCCTTAAGGTTTAAGGTATATTCCTGAATGACTTCTAATACGAATCCCCTTAAGGTTTAAGGCCTATTCCTTAATGTAGGGGTCTTGGGCTCTCTGGGCACGCAGTGCACGAGATCCCTGAGCCGCCTGCTGGGGTCCGGCACACTTTGGCGCTTTACACCGACAGCGATGGACATTGACAGAGCTCCGCAGATGCAAAACAGCGGATGCTGTGTCAAGTAGATCCGTGTCACAGGAGCAGTTGGGTCCGGCTGTCTACAGTATCTTGTTGGTCCCATGATCGTGGTTGACGAGTTTCATGACTTTGCTGTCAGTGAAGTTGTTTTCGTTACGTGATGTCGGTCGGTGTGCCATCGCAGGAGCTCTACAAGCGCTTCTTCGCGAATGCCCCTTCGGGCCAAGACTTCTTCAAGCAGTCTACGACACGCCTGCGCCCTGCCGACATGAAGAGACAACCGCCCTGTGTGACAAGGCACAGTAAAACCCATCACTTCACACAGCTTGGCTAGGAGCCGCAGCTTTTCGAAGTCCCCTCCTGGAGACCCCCCTTCAGCCACGATTCGCTCGTGCTTTCAGGTATTTCTTGGCGGACCGAGTTGTGGAGATGACTGTAGAGATGTATCGCGGCCCTGCTGCAATCTGGTTCTGAGTGGACACAGCAAGCACTAGGTTCCTAGGTGGAGGATCATGGGACTTAGTAAGAAAGGTTATAAGTACCCTAATTCAGGTTATAAGTAATTCTAACTGTAGTTACCCTGTTTATAACCCCAATTACATGATCCTCCAAGTAGGTGCGCTAAAGGGTGGACCAGGCTGAACACCGGAAAGAGGTCTGGTCTTTTGGACCCCTTGAGCTTCCATGGAAGGCCCGTCCCCAGAAAGCCCAATGCCAATACCCCTTTTTTTAAAGAATATAGCCCAAACCATAATGTGAGTACCCTTCGAATTTAAGGTATATTTCCTTAATTAGGGAATATAGCTTAAGTCAAAACATGAGTACCCCTTATAATTTAAGGTCAATTCCGTAGGTAAGGGGTCTTGTGCTCCCTGAGTCCCTGCCAGGGACGGGGGCGGGGAAAAGGGCCCAGAGGGTGGGGGTGGACCCCCAGGAGCACTTCGCCTCCAAAGCCTGACAATTCCAGAGGTGGGACCCCAGAATCCCTTAAATTAAGGAATCCTCCTCAAATTGTACTAGGATCCCTTATATGATTCAAGGAATACTCCTTAAATGAGAGTAGGGATCCCTAATATGATTTTAGGTCTGTATTCCTTAGGGGATATTGGAGTCTCTAGGATCCTTTCAAAGATGGCGCCTGACGAAGAACCCCGAAATCAGAGGCCCTGAAACCCTAAACCCTGAAACTCTAAACCCTAAACGCTAAACCCAGAAACTCTAAACCCGAAACCCGAAACCAGCCGAAGGGCGCGGTAGAAAAGGAGCTAAACAAGAGAAAAGCCAGCCTTGTTCTGTCAAAGGCGAGCCCAGGAAGATGGTGCAGGAAATCTCCGGGCTTGGGCTTCGACACGCAACTCTCCCCGGAGATTTTGTCGGGGTTTAGGGGCAGTCCTTCGGTAGCGGTTTTTGGCATTCCCTGATCATGGCTTCGAGCGACCGGGGTGTGGCAGAGCCCAGGCGCAAAACCTCAAACCTTTGGGAGGTGGGGAGCTGGGGCTGTGCTTCTCAAAAGCATGCGCTGATGACGAATGTCAATCAACAGTGCCAGTAATGGTGGTAGCAATGACAAGACTTGCCCAGCCGTATTGATAGCCAAAGCCATCACAGCAATAGTAGTGCCCTCTGCAGCCATTTCCAACCATGGTCATACATGGAAGTTGCAGCATGAGCAACTCCAACAACAATACTGCGTCTCACGGGAGTTTCAGAAACACCTGGGCCCCGAATATAGAACGCTAGCTAGTAATGTAGTAGTATCCAGTGCGGATAAGGAGATCTAAAATTCTGCGGGACCCCCTGGTTATAAGAAGCTTCGAATCAGTCCCACACCCTCACCTCTGAAACCTCGGGAGAGTTGTGAGAGTGTAGACTCTACAACTTCGCAGAGGAAAGGGGCCGAGAAAAAGAAACCTCCGAGGTCGGTTGGGGTATCCCTCCGGAGCTCTTTTCCCCGTACTGCTCGGGCGCAGTGGATACTATTCGAGCCCTGACACTCGGCTTGAATAATGTATAGGGCTGAGGGTGTCGAGCTTTCAGATTCACGGCTTTGCAGTCGGGAGGGAGGCTGCAGAGAAGCTGTCGAGGTTTCACAAATGTCTCCGATCCCTCCTCGGTCTCCTGTTGAGGACTTTCACATGAGGGTCTTGGTATTCCATTCTTGAAGAATCTTTAAAAATAGAAAAAACGTGGGCATCCCCAAGCCCGGATGCCCGACGGCGCCAAGGACTCCAGATGAGAACGCGCAAGCCGCCTTTCGCCTCCTGGACTGACATGTCTCATATGGGGGCCCGATGGTTTTGGGGGGCTTTTGGGTAGTTGGGGTTTAGGGTTTCAGAAGCTAGGGGCACTGCCACGAGCACAGTCCTAAGTGGCGGAAGAGCCGCAAACTACCAGGCATCCTTGCAAGCAAGCCTGCAGCAAAAAGGTGGGAAGACGAAAGGCTAAGGAATAGCGTTGCTAATTCTTCATGCTTTCAAAATTGCGTCCGGGTCTTGGTGTGCTTAGGGTTTGGGCTATGGGCTCTGCGCTTCCCAGCGAGAAGCCGGAGGTTCTCCCACAACATGATCTAGTTGTGGTTTGCCCGGTCTCTACTAAACCCAAGTATCCCAAGACGATCCACCAAAACGAGGCCGATATCCCCAGGAGGAATGCACATAGGGCGACGTACCATAATTTGAGGTCTACTCCCTAAACCCTGAACCATGCCCTGCCTTGTGCGAGTGTGTGAGTCGAAGCCCCGAATCCTGAAACCCGATCCCCAGACCCTATCCTACTGTTGATGGTATAAATCCTGCATCACACATAATAAGGAATATACCATAATTCCCATAGTTTATTGTCCTTAAAGGTAATGCACGATTTATATCATTAACCGTAGTAGTCGAGTAGGTAACCTTTAACCTTTTTTAGGTAGTATAGTCCCTGTATAATCCCTATATAACCAAAAAGGTTAACCTTTCAGTTCCCCATGATACCCGACAAGTATGCTATTACCTAAATCCCGAGCCCGAACCCCGCATTCTCCAGTTTCAGAGGGCAGCTGAAGCCAAGGTTTCTCGCTGTCGCTCATTGCGAAGATCCTAGTGCCGTGGCTTATGGAGATGGGTGGTTGTCAAAATTACGGTCCTTTTTTGGGTACACTAAATATTAGGTGCCGTACTATAATAGGGACCCACAAAGCAAAGAATGCCTGCTGGCACCCGTCAAAAGCCGACCCCAGAACAAGAATCCTCAAGCAAACATGATAAAACTAAACGGGACCAATGAGCAACAATGGCGACTAAAGAAAGCTATTGAAAGCTAATAACTCTCAAACCTCTTGTTGCTCAAAAGGACCTTTTGTTTAGGTAAATGCCCTCGAATATGCTCGAATGCCTCTGCTATTTGTGGCAGCTTAGCGATCAGTGAAGCAACGAAGTTCTCAGATGATGTAGTAATAATGGCGGAGTCGGCGCATGGGCCGAAACTTGCTGAAGACACTGGCTGATGAAGGGTAGGTGGCTGCTGGGAACAGTCATGTCTTGCAGTGGGGGGCTCGTGACGGTCGCCATCTGGATCTACTCGGCACACTGATTTTGCAGCCTTTCCAAGGCCCCAGAGCCCTCGCTCAAATGCTCTGGAATGCTCTCGAATGCTCTCGAATGCTCTCGGTAGGCCCCTTTTGGCTTTCAAATGCTTCTTTTGAGCTTCGGCTGCTCTCGGCCGATCCTAGTGTAGAACAGAGCCTGGCAAAAGTGCGCTGTAACAGTTCAACCAAAGGATGCAGATTTCAGAGTCGCAGCCAAATTTCAAACAGGAAGTCAGTTCAAGAACCTTTGTCACACAGGGTTTAGGGTCATGGGCCTCAGGGTATTTAGAGTTCAGTTTCTCAGTGGCTTGAATATGGTTGCGACTCGATGGCTTTAGAGTACTTGCTGGTTGAGTGTATCGTTGACTAGTGCTTTCAAATGCTCTCGATGGTCTGCTTGTTTTGAGGGTCGGTTTTTGACGAGTGCCAGCAGGCATTCTTGACAAAGGGACCATCATTTTTGACAACCACCCAGATAGAAACCTGGCTGTTCCTGAGATCTGTTAATTGTCGGTACACTATAAACCGAAGGGGCCATTCAACATATTCTGTTGGCGAGAGAGTTATAATGCAACTGTCACAGGACTTGGGCCATGGGCTTGGCATGGCAGTGTGTTTCCTTCCAGACCGCTTCGAAGCCCGCTCCACTGCCCCTGGAGGTATTGACACAAGTACGAATGTTAAGTGTTTCCATCGACTGAATGCTGATATAAAGCCGGGCGTTCTTGAAGAAATGTTATCAATGTTTTCACAATATCAAGCCGAGATTTTGACAAGAACGTGAGAATTATTGGCGTAGTTGTTCTAACAAAAGAATCGATGCTGCGCGGATCTCTATAGTACATCCCTTACGTGGTTGTCTAGGAGCCGAGACCCTGAAGCCCTTTCGTTTCCAAAAGCCTAGGCCCTAAATCCCAAACCCTCCCTGGCCCACTCGATCTGACAGGCTACTTGGGAGGTTCATGGGTAGTTATAAGTGGGGTTATGAGTCCCCTAATATATGGGTAATGACTACAGTTATCCTACTTATAACCCTACTTATAAGTAACCATGAACCTCCAAGTAATGTAGGAACCTGATTAAGAAACCCTTGGGCCTTTGTTTAGGGTCTCTTTAAAGGGGTCTAGAAGGGTTACTATAAGGGATCTATAAGGGTACGATAACAAAGTTAGGAACCTGATTAGGAAACCCTGGGCCTATGACCCCGAAATAGTAGGATCCGTATATATAAGGAACCCTAATGAAGGCCCAAGGTTTCTTACTCAGGTTCCTACATTAAACGGCTTGCCAAGGTCCGGGCTGTCACCGAGGGATCCACTCTCGTGATGAGAGCGATTAACACCAATCAGGCCACGCCGGGGCCGTGCTGGTTTGCAATTATTGGTTTTCCCATGGAACATGTCAGCATCCTCGCTGAGAAGGTCCTGAGGGGTGGCGAGGGTTTTCATTTTCCACCACGTTGCTTCCAACTTCGCCAGCCTCATCATCATCAATCATCATTATCATGGCTGTCATCGTCATCATCATTTTCATCACCACCTTCGTCACCATCACCGTCATTATCACCACCATAACCAATTAGAACAGATTGTTATCCTCACTGCGGGCATCAGTTGCTCCGTCATGAGCATGTTCACCATCAGACCGCCATGAGAGCAGTAGCATCATTCGCACCAGCAGCTGCCCGAAGCCATCGTCGCTTTGGCCAGGAAGCCGCGCTAAAGAAGGCCATCGCTATCGCCCCGCGAGGTAGACGGGCAATGGAGCTGCTAAACATTTCTGTGGGCCGCTCGCTTGAGTTTGTGCTGGCAAGGGACTTCGCGGCGGTTGCCAGTGTTATCGTTCGATGTTGTGCCGTATACATACGTACATCGAGGTGGGTCCCTTTTGCTGCTTGTTTGGTCACACTGGCTGCTGGCATTGCGCAGTCAAAAACACTACCCGAGCAGGGGTTTGGCGTTTCACAGTATTCAACAAGTGGGATCCTTCTCAACCGAATCTAAGCACAAGTGCAAAATCACAACATAATCCACCCCGGTTCTACATGATCCTTGTGGATACCAGTGGGGCAATGAGCCGGGGTTCGCAGCTGTCCGCGATTTAGCGATTCCAAGACTCGCTTCCGACTCCACAAGCTGTCCTGTCCTACGCCATTTCCGAATTGACGGTTTCCCTACGGCCCTACCGTGCGGATTCGCCTTAGCAATGCGCGAGGGCAGAAAAGCCTACGCTAAACACCCAACAAGGAAAACCTGGTGATGGGAGCCGTGAGATCAAAGCCTTGAAATCGAGGCACCCAGTCCATCTCCCCTCTTTTCTGGTCCATCGAGAGTGGCAGCTTGAACAGTGCCTTGGCATAGCAACTCGCTATTGCGGGCCTCTTCTTCTGACAAGTTGAACATTTTCAGAGCGCTGGAGTTTGGGGCCTGACTTGAGGCTAAGCAGCAAGCCATTGCGAAACCCCAACAGCGGCATAGTGCTGCCGCTGATGATGCTGTCGTGGTCGCAGTCGTAGTCGTAGTCGTCGTCGTAGTAGCAGCAGTAGAAGCAGCAGGTGCGAACAGCACGACCCACAGTGGACCCACAGCTTTTCAGGCATGCCTCGTTACTCAACAGGTGTCGCAACACTCGCTAAGAGTATTCCTTTGAAGTCCAGACATTGTAAAAGCATAACAATGCTATGCTCTATGGTATGTCAAACTGTACCCCAAACCGTTCCTAGTTGTACAGGCCCTCATATGAGAGTTTCCGGAATTTTGGAGTACCTTTTTTGGGGGTCCTTTGCAAAAGGACTCCTACTGTTGAGGGTACTATTTTGGGGTCCTCTGCAATCGGATTTTTGTGTCCACATCCTGCCAGAGAAAACGCGAGGCGCCCGTGCGATGCTCGTGGACCTCCTCACGATCCGTGCGGACCGTGATGTGTACTACTACGGATGTGCAGCTTGGGCTGTTGTATATATGTAGCTCCTAAACCTTAAACCCTGCTATGGATGTGCAGCTTGGGACAGTACAGGCTTTGAAAGGGCTTGCATCTTGAATTTCGATTTTTAGGCGCAGGTGAGGCTTGGATCTAAGAAAGGGCGCCACTATGGACCAAAGTCGGCTAGAGGGTTTCGGGGGTGCACTGCTACCACGGGCAACACCTCCAAAGCAGCTTTCACGAACTAGGCTTGCATTCGGTGTCAGGGGTGTAACATGTTTCGGGTCATGTCAGTGCTTCTTTGAAGAACCTACGGATTGTGATCTTTCGTTGTTCGAACACGACCCTTCGCATTGGCAGGGTCCTGCACAGACAAGGCCTCTTTGCATTCGGCGCTGTCGTGTTTCATACGTATTGTCAGATGACAGAGCTAGTTGGAGATACGTCACGAATAGAAGAGGAGCCGTAATAATTGGAGTAGCGTTCCTTCGGGCTCCATATTAAGTATAGCACGATTTCTGCGAAGCCCTACTGTAATTATCAGGCTCCTGTACTATTCCCACCGATTTGAACCGGCCTGGCAAGACGGAGGGCCTTGGGCCTGTTCTTCAGCTGAGGATGCCATGTTCACGCGGCATCCAGACCTGATCTTGCGATTGTGCAGCGACGCATCGACGTTGCTGTGGACCTTGTTCGATGGCATCTCGCAGAGAATCAGAATGTGGCCTTGAGGCCCATTTGTGCTTTGCAAACCGAGGATGCCTTGTTTAGAGGTCCGTATAAGAAGAGGTATCGAATGCCACTCCGCCTGTAGAGTCTTGCATGGTGAGCATACTGCAGTGTGCCACGAGTAGGCGGTGAGAGCAGGAGCCTCTGATGCACGTTTATACCTTCTAGCCCTACTGCGGGGACTTAACTCAAGCTCCTGAGTGTCTAAAATCCCCTATAAGGCCACTGTTTTTTTTTTTTAAAGACACCCTGGCGACTCCCCTCGTCTCTAAACAGTACCCCAAGCCTCACAGGGCCGCCTGGGTGCAGCTCAGGCCTCGTTTGGCGGTCGAGGCTGGTGCAGAACGGCCAGCGCCGTGTCAACTACTACATCAAGCAGCTTGGCATAGACAGGGTTTAGGGTTTAGGAATCTAGGGTTTAGGGTTTAGGGTTTAGGGTTTAAGAATCTAGGGGTTCGGGATGTAGGTGTTGGCTTCAGGATACTGGAAGGAACGGGCTCAGGACACCCTGAACCCTACTTGGGAGCCTTGGTGAAGACCTCATTTAAAGGGAGCCAATCGCCAGTGCCTGCAAGAACCCAGGCCTCGCCCCATGAAGTCATGTTCGTGAGGGTGTTTCTAGGCGTTCCATCGTGGCGTGGTGCGGAGTTTTGCAGGGTTTCATGAAGGGTCATGAGGGTTTCATAGCGGTCTGCATCGGGCTCCTTCGGAATTTGGGGATGCATTTTGGGTTTCCAGTATAGGGAGACTGACGTGTTTGAGTGCAGGGTCTGTAGGTTTGAGGGCTTTGGGTCTCGACGGCATAGGGGCTGAATGTATGGGCCGAAATACTTGCCCATACAAGTTTTGGGGGTTCCTTACGAAATATATGATGTAATATACCCTTAGCAAGTAAATATAATATACCTAGCACGGGTGGCCGGGAGCTGGGGGGGCGGCTGGTGCGCACGAGGGCGCCTGACTTGGGCTCCTCGTACCGTGCTACTGACCCGACAGCAGGTTCCGATGCTAGTTCTCAAAATTAGGGTCCCTTTTGGGTATCCTAAATATTACGTGCCGTATTACGATAGGGACCCAACAAGGGGACCATATAATTTTTGACAACCACCCATGTGCTGGGAAGCCGAGTTGCTTCAGACTTGTGCCTGCCTTGTGGAAGCGTGCGAGTCGAAACCCTCTGTGCAATAGGGGAGAACAGGAACTCAGGAACTTTCAGCGACTTCCCAGAACGATCAACACTGCAATGCGGCCTACTAGGAGGCAAAACCCTCGAACCCTGGACCCGAGTTGACTGAAACGTAAAGCCTACTTAAGGCACTTGGTCCAAGATGTGGAGGGCAACTTCAGCCCAGCTCTGAAATGGCCGCCGGGATCTGGTGGAGTGCGCTCTCCCTCTGTGGTCTAATCGCTCTTTCATTTTTGGTATGGTGAAGTGGTATATTCAGTATTATCCGTTAACCTGTTGTCTGCGAAGCATCAGTCTTGTGTCATGTATGGTATACCTATACATATACATTCAGACATACATATACATATAGAGACATATGCAGGTATACATATCACATACATATACATGTACATATACGTATACATATACATATGGGAATATACATATAAGCATACATATGGGAATATCTATGTGTATACATGTATATCTATATGTGTGTGACACACATATAGATATGCATGGATACACATATACATGTAAACACACATATGCATATGCATGTAGCTTTTTATGCATGCATATATTCACACACACATAGATTTACAAATGTACGTGGTTCCATATGTAAGTATCACAGACAACATATTGTATATTGTTCATCGTATGCTTTGTTTTCTACAATATACGTATATAGATATTGGTACATGTGTATATATATATATATGTGTGTGTTGTACATTCTTTGTCCTTTATTCGGCCCATTCGGCTATACTTCATATGCTATGCCACACAAACGATATACTATATATTGTATGTCGTATCATATATAATACCAGGTATATCCTATGTTAAAACCTGTAAGTATTTATCTTTGTATATTACATATCACAAGTTTTACCCTGTGAGTTTGTACCTAATGTTTAGATGACATCTTTATGACGTAAATGGTTTATTGTGCGTATGGTGTTCGTCATAGCGCAGTCCTTATCTATTACATCGTTACTATGTCCACTATCTCTTGCATATACGTATACACTATCGAGCTTGTATGCATATACATATATACATATATACACATATACACATACACATGTATGTGTTAGGTGATGGGTTTGTTGTTTCAGACTTGCTCCGAGCTTCATTGCGTTTTTGGCTTTGGGACTTGGGGTTCAGATTTCAGGTTCGGGAAGGACGGTTTAGGGTTTAAGGGTTTCGGGCTTAGGGGTTTAGGTTTAGGGTTTTGAACACGTGAAATTTGGCTACCGCGCCTCTGACGAAGCACGGAGGGCTCTATGGGATGAAATGGGGGCTTCCCTCTTTTGATTCTTTGTTATGCTTGTGGTGGCTGCATAATGTCAGCGTGTGGACTTCCAAGAAAGCACCCTACAGACCAAACCTTCTGCACGGTATGGTTGTTTCGGGCGCAATTATGGCATGATATATATATATATACATAGATATAGATATAGATATATATGCTGGCTTGGACAGACAATACATGGGACACATTTCAATGCTTGCGCACCGATCGATCGGTCTATCCATCCATCTATCGATCTGTGTGTCTACCTATCTATTTTCCTGTCTATGTATCAATCTACCTATCCATCTACCTACCTATCTATCTATATGCATAGGCCCAAATGCATATACGGTCTGTCAATGTCCATTTCATTTGGGAACACAACTGCCGCAAGCACATAAGACACAGTGAAACAGCTTTTGGACAGATCATGAAAACTGCTTGTCAACACCATACTATAGAAACCGATTACTAATGCCATTTTTTGGGGTTCCTTGTTTAAGTCTAGTAGAGTCTACTATGATGGTCCCCCAAACCCTATTCTAATTATTAAGGCCCCCATATTTTACAGCACTAGAGGATGTTAGCCCGTTGCCCCAGGCTCGCACACCACAAGGATCCGCGGCTTGTCAGCCACGGGGTGGTCGTGACCTTCGCAGCCTCCCGGCGGGAGTATACGCCGGTTAGGTCCTCTTCACCGTCCTGATAGTGCCGTTCCGACGGTGCTACACGGTTAGCACTGGAGTTCAACATCATCATCTTGCTGCCATGTTCGTATCGACCGCGATAGAGTGTTGCGGCGCATAAGAATTTACAATGACAGTTTAGTAGGGGATTGCACCAGTATCCTGAGCAATTCGGTGTGGGTAGTTCTGTGTTTCTGTTCGATCGCTTGTTGCACAAATGGCATACGGTATACGTGGTAAAAGCGGTAAACACCGCGATAGTAGTACGATGCGATAAGCCCGACTCTTCTGAATTGAAAAATGCCGAGGCCTGAACCCGTAAACCTCGAGCCCTAATTGCCCGAGTGTGATTGCCGAAACCCAGTCTAAAACTCCAATCCCGATGCCTAAGCGTTGTGAGCGCATCCATACGATGGACACTGAGAGGCAGCGCAGAGACTGAAAGTAGTTCTTGTGCAGCAAGATGAGTCACTATGGGCACGGGAACCCTTCTACTAACCTGAATCACTGAAGTTGAAGAACCCTAAACTTCCCTAAACCCTAAACCCTAAACCGTCATCTTGCTACCGGTTTCAGGGCACAGGCTGCAGATGGCCTGTACGAATCAATTCCTTGTAACCCAGCCCACCTAGCAGGAGCTGGACTAGTTGAGCTTGCCACTCTCATCAGTGGCCTTCGAGTGGCTTAGATCGAGAAGTCGTGTAACAGGCCAACTCGCAGCTCCACATTTCAGTCCCTGTCGCATAATTTTTTCTTCGGTCTCATCACGCAAACGCGATCGAAAGCCCCAAATCACTCATTGGACCCAGACCCTACAGTTGCTCCTAGGCCCTACAGGCTTGGTGTTTGAGGTACCTCAGACCCCAAACCCTGAACGCCTGAAACGACCGGAAAAAGTTTCGTCCACAGCATTACCCCGAAGCCCCATTTCTGTAGGATCTTTTGTGGAACCGCCTGGCCTCCTTCCAATTCCTGCTGGGCAGAGGCCCATGGGCAGGGCGAGGTAAAGACCTGGGAATGATATGATGCCGTCAAGCTTGGGATTTGGGATAATGGTTTGCGGTTTATTGTTTAGTTTTTGCATCAAACGAGAAGGCCCTGCTGTTGAGGAGTGTTCGCTGCCACAATCCAAGCCCATGCTGAAAAAGTCTTGGGTTTACAGTAGAAGCCATAAAGTTGGAACATCATTATCCCCATACCTTTAATGTAAAGTAGAGGGAATCCCCGCAGTAATCATCCTAAATCCATGTTCCAACTTTCTAGGGTTCACTATAGGGAGCCGAGCTGCTGCTCCTGCTCTGACGAAAGGCATTGCATGGGGGTTGTCTTGCGTGGTCTCTTGGCGGTCTCTCAGGTGCTACGACGTTACAGGGGATGAGGGGGAATGTGCGATGCTATAGTAGGTTATGAGATACCCCGATGCTACATGTGTAGTACATGCTATACACCATGCGAAAGTTGTGATTACTCTGTTGTGCGCTTTCTACAGATGCTACCTATAGATATACTACAAACTGCGCTTGAAAAATGTTGCAAGCTCCCAAGCAAGGGCCCCCAAAGCAGAGAAAACTCCCATGGCGGTTATCGGGTGGTGAAGATCCGGAATGGGCCCGGACCACACGGACCCTGGCAAAAACCTAAAGCCAAAGCTCCGATCGCTCCAATCACTGCCATGTGCTAAAGCCCCTGTTCCAAAAAACACCTGCAGGCTACTTCCTTTTCACGCTGATCGTCTTCATCACTAGCCAGTCGCTGTTGATACCAGGGGAGCCTCAGCCAAAATGTTTTCATTTTTCGGTTCAAGGCCTGCCTGAGAGCTTCTTTCCTCGCCTCGGCACGATCCGCCAAGGAATGAGGGTCGAAACCCTAATTCCAAACCTTCACGAGCCCAGCATCTCAACCACGAAACCCTACACCAATCTAAACCGATTGCCCCAAGCCCGAAATCGTAGGTGAGCGCCGCAATTCTAGGTATCATGATTGGTAGGAAAAGAAAGCTGAGCCCGAATCCTGAAGTCTAAATCAGAGCAGCCTGCCTGTCACACGAGTGTCTGGACCGCTGAATGCTTTGGCGTTGGCAGGGTGTTGGGGTTTGGTGCAGCAGTGGGGTTTAGGGTTTAGGATACCCGGTTGCTCGACGGCTTGACGGCTCCATGTTGTGCCAGAGAACTGTTACTGTTGGCAGCTGCTGTGCTGTAGAATCCTTCAGTACTTACGCTCAGGAAGAATCCCTGGGCAAGAACATCGCCACGTTCGTGTGCCGCTGCTTCCTGTACCTAGGTACGGTACTCGGGAGACATGGGGATGAGTAGCAGATTTGAGCATGAACGGATGCAAAACGGGCATCGCTGTGGAGCTGCCAGGCATTAAATTGCTTGCCTCTCCTCCTGTCGTGGACTGTACTTGGGCTTGGCGTGGCAATCCGCCACAAAATAGTTTACTTTCAGTCCCTCGTCAAAGCAAGTGTGCGATAGGGCCTGAGCTTGACGCCTAGAATGGAGAGAGAGAGAGAGAGAGAGAGATACTCGTGCTGCTGCTGCTGCTGCTGCTGCTGCTAGCACTACAGTGACTAGTGCAGCAGTTGAGTCTCTAGCGGTGTTGTGGGGATGGTAGTGGTGGTGGTGGTATTGCTGGTAGGGGCAATCGTCGTCGTCACCCTCGTCGTTGCAGTAGCAGTGGCTTGAGCAGCAGAAGCAGCAGAAGGTTCTTGTGGTGTGTTTTGATGACCTGTTTAAGATTCAGTTAAATTGAGCGCCCTTGTCCCTGCACTGCACCTCCAAACATGATGGCATGCTACCCGTCCAACAGGGAGCATGAGCAAGCTGGTCTTCGATCACTGCAAGACCTTCTGCGGAGCGCTGAAGGCCCCGCATTCTCAGAACACATGCATGCTTGGGCCGCAGGTTGGATTAGCACCGGGCCCGGCAGTTGGTGTCGGCAGCTTTACGAGCCCTGCACGTGAGATCACCAGGTCTGGTGCAGTCGTCCACACCACACCCCACCTATCTTCGGAAGCCCAACAGCTCGGAATCCGAAATCATGTATACACAGAGCTCCGTTTCCGAAAATTAGGCCTACCTTACTTTGGGCTCTTTGTAATGAGGATCCTAGTTTTTAGGCTACTATATTGGGGTCCCGTACTTCCCAAAAACTCAAATCCCATCGAGGCGGGCGACTACCACTGGTACTGGATCCTGCCGGTTCCAACCTACTTGCACAGCACCCAGCAGGCCTCCCTTCGCATGCATATCTATCTATCTACCTATCTATCTATCTATCTATCTATATGTATGTACATACATACACAAATACATGCATACATACATATATATATACATATACATATATATATATATATACACATACATATGCATACATACATACATACATACATATATACATATATATATATATACATATACATACATACATATATATATATATATATATATATACATACATACATACACACATACATACATATATATATATATATATATATATATATATATATATATATATACGTACATGTACATATACGTACATACATATGTACATATATATACACACATGAAAAACACACATATATATATACACACCAATATTGTATTTATGGACACTATGTACACAATTTAGATTACACAATGTAGATGCACGTCTACATTCATATGTATATGTACATGTGTATCACAAGAATACACACATGCACAGGCACATAGAAGAGCCTCTGTCATCGACAGAGGGCGTACCTGTCTGCATGCATTTAAGGCCTGCTTCTCAGTAGGGAATGGGGGAATGGAGCCTTATGGTAGGCCCTATATAATCCCCATAAACCAATCCCCCATTCCCTACTAAGAACCAGACAGGTACTATAGATACCCTAAGCCCCTTTACAGGACCCTTTAAAGGAACCCTTAAAGGAACCCCGTTCCCTACTAAGAACCAGACGGTTTATGCACATCTGCGTTCCGGGCTTTGTCCGTGGTGCGGACCCGAACTCCCATCTTGGGAGAGTTTTCTGAAAGTTCGGGACCCTAAGATAGTACCCTATATAGTGGGGGGCCCTCTTACTATAGGGACCCCAACATGAGCTACCCCTAATTTCCGGAAACTCCGATGTGGTCTGCAGCTCGAGGAGTGGAGGCTCTTGGCATGTGCGTTTGCTGTCCATTCAGAGACTGAGAGTGGTTTAGGGTTTAGGGTTCAGGATTTAGGGTTTAGGGTTCAGGGTTTAGGGCTTCGGGTGCCTGTGAGAGAGAGAGAGAGAGAGAGAGAGAGAGAGAGAGAGAGGGTTTAGGACTTAGGGTTCAGGGTTTAGGGTTCAGGGTTTAGGGTTTAGGGGTGCTGCACAAGTGATCTACGACGCCTTTGAAATCCTTTGCACCCGAAACGCTCAAGACCCACTTGTGTTGCTGTTTCAGAATGGGCCGATCCCTCCCCCATCTCAGTTTTCTGCTTTCTCGGTCAGGGGCTGGTTTCAAGGCGGATGACCGGGGGATAGTCTGTCTGTTCCGTTGGGCGAGTTTCGGAAGCTTATCATCCTTATAATCGTCCTTACAGTAATCCTCATGGCACCTTCTAGTTCAACGGCAAGCCCTTCGGAGTGTGGCAGTCACACCTCTAACTCCAAAATCGTATTCCCAAAACGTCCGAAACCTTGAGCCCCAAACTCAGAACCCTAAACCCTAAACCCTAAAACCCTAAGATTGGAGCCCAAACGACTTGAAGCTGGAGCTCCTTCTACACCGTTCGGGGGGCAGGTGGGCGGCCTACTTCTGGTGCTGCTGCTCATCCTCATGCCCCTTGGACCAGGTTTATGGTCTTCCGTAGCTCTAGCACCATGTCCTCACAAAGCTACGGTGATAGGAACGGTGTGTGGTGCGAGGCTGGGGGGGGTTCGCCGGCCATCGTTTCTACATTGTTTGCCACAAGAGCATCACAGATGTAGTAGCGTTGAAGTCCATCTGCCGAAGCACCACCAGTTCCCTTGTCATCATCAGCTCCATTATGCTCAGCACTCATCTTCATCCTCATGCTCACCACTACGGCCAGCAGTGTTTTCGTGACCTTCACCATGCACAGGCATTATGACCACTGCTGCCACTTGCAGTATTTTGTTTTGCCTTGACACGCCCAGCAGGAGCAGCAGCAGATACTGTGCAAATAGCAGTGCCAGCGCATGTCGCAAGTCACTTCACCCTTAACTAGTGTGGCTGTTGAACAACTCAGGAAATTTCGGGAGGTTGTTGAACTTCCTGACAGTAGAGATTAAATGAAAGCACTCAAAGCAATGCTTCCTCTTCACTAGGGGATGTTGGAGCCCCCTAAACCCTAAACACTGTAGATCCCTGAAAGGAACCCTTAACCACAAACCCTTTGCAGGTATGTGCAGGAGCCTGTCCTCTGGTGCATCGCTTTCGGCGACAATGGGCCGACCTCCATCCCTTTGAGCGCAACCTGCGCCTCACCTGGCGGAAGCGAGTCGCACCGGTTTTGCTAAGACTTCGAACAGGAACTAAAAGCAAGCAGCGAGCCCCAGATATGGAGCTAGAGGTAGTAGGATCTCGATTATGGAAAAGTCTGATACAGCATTCCCTGTCTTGTGGAATTCAACCATCTGCCGCAACACTTGGGATGCTGGTCTTGGTCCATTGAGCTTCCCATTCTTGCTGCCGGCTGGATTGCAGTATGGTTGTTACCAGGACTCCCTTTACGAATGAGAACGATAGCGTTTTAAAACAGAAGCCTGAGTATTTGCCAACTCTATTCCTGAGGATCCCTTTGTAGAACCACACAGATTGTCACCAAAGCCCTGTTCTAAACATCAAGGCCCTCATATGGTCTTTAGTGCCTAACTCTGCAGGATGACGGGAGCACGTTGCTTGTGTAGCCATTACGGCGGGCTGCGTCATTATGATGCCGGCTCAGGGGTTTAGGGTTTTAGGATGTTTTAGGATGTTTTAGGATGTTTTAGGGTCTAGGGTCTTAGGGTTTAGGGTCTTAGGGTTTAGGGTTTAGGGTCTTAGGGTTTAGGGTCTTAGGGTTTAGGGGTTTAGGGTCTCTGGATGTCTGGTTTATATTCTTGCTACTACTAGCACGTGAACATGTTTCTCGGTGCCGTCAAAACTGCATCAAGCCGAAAAGCTTCTCGATGATGGCCACGGGCGAAGGCGAAGAGGCGAACGACGTGAGGACCACCTACGCAGTGTGCTCCTGCCCCTTGGCTACACAAACCGCATGAGCTGCATCTACCGGATAACATCGAAGGCCAAAGGAGGCCGATCCCTGAATTGCGACAGCCATAACATCTACAGCTCGGGGGGCAGCTTGCATCGCACAGGGGTGAAAAGCGACTTCTCGAACAGCAACACCAGCAGAAACAAGGGCCAGGGCGCATGCATCAGCAGCAACAACATCATCATCAGCAGCACCACCACCACCACAAACTGCAGCGTCAACGTCGACCACACAAACACTATTTGCACTAGTGCCAACCTCAGCATCGACAGTGTAGTAGCAACAACACGTCAATAGAACAAAATCTTTCGGCAATAGGCATAGTAAACACAGTGGCGAGAAGAATAGTGAGTGATAATCCAGTCCGATGCCTCCACTCAGGCATTAACTGGAATTAAGAGCACAATACACCCGAACGGCCTGCCATTCCAAACCCTCTAAGATCTGCTAGGCCCTAAGCCCTCGAGCCTAAACCCTGACACCTCAACGCAAGCTGTTAATCCTATAACAACCCCCTGTATGCATGTAAATAAACATGTGTATATGTATATATGCGTGCATGCAGCCAGACAGACATACATGCATTTGTAGCATACATATTTTGCCCTGATATAGTACCCTAAATACTAGGACCCTTATTATAAGGACCCCAAAATAGGGTACCCCTAATTTTCGGAAGCTCCCTTTTTTTAGTCATCACGAAAGGCCTTGCCATGATGATGTACTGGGCGCTGCTCATGGACTTCACGCTTCTCTCCATGCGCATTTCAGCCTTTGTGCTGGCCACCCGGCCTGAGAGTGGGAGAGTAGCATGGGTGTTTTTTTCTGTTTTTCGGAACTCGGGGTTCGGATGCTGGTACTTGTAGCGTTTCTTCTTGGAAAAGGGACAAGACAAGGTTTGTACAGGGCTTCGGGGCGTCTTAGACTGACGGGGTTCCTCATTCAGAGGTCCTTGACTTCTGGAGTCTATAGTAGGGTCCCTCATTTACGTGAAGCTCCGAGAATCAGTGTGCTCCAGCTTGGCGGTTTAGGAACCGCTGGAGGAATCATCCCGCACGAGGGATCTGCTGGGAAGTTTGCTTCGGTTGCTGGGCCAAGAGCCGGAGCTCTTGCTAAGGAATTAAATTCAGGTACCATAATATGGAATCACAATAAAGGGCAGTTTCCTCATTGTAGTAAGATGCAACCAATGCCTTAACAAGCTAAGTTGTCAGAATATGGACCTGTAGTCACTGTAGTCGAAATAAGTTGGTTTCCTTGCCGTAGTCGGTTAAAATCATGTAACTACTTATAGGTGGCAATTTGCGAAACTGTTTAATTTCCATTTATGGTTCCTCTAGAGGTAGCTATCTCATAAATACTTGTCAGAGCCCCGAAACTACAACCCAGACTTAATGTAACACGAACCCAGAAGCTCGGCAGATATGACGTCCGACTGGCCAGGTGTGTGGGAACGTCCTGGCAGATGTCGGGCTCTTTTCTTTGGCGCTGTTGTTCCTTATTCTGGCTTTCGCCACTTCGATTAGCGCCTCAGCTGAAGAGGCAAGACTGTATCCAAGGCATCGGTCCCCCTGCATCGTAGGTTCGTCCGAGCCAGGCGGGAGGCAAAAACAAAACAGAACTACAGAAAAGAACCCCTAAACCCTAAACCCTAAGCTTTATCATGGTTTTCGTCTAGCTGAGGGGTTTGAAGACAGGGACCCCCAAGTAGTGGGGGCTCCTTGGTGTAATCTCTGGAAGGGAGACTAGCGAATTACTATAGTGGCCTAAATAATTGCCGATACTGTTTTGGGGGTTCCTTATAGTAATCATAGTATAATGGGCCCAAAATCACTATTCTAATTACTAAGGCCCCCATATTAGCCCTCAACCCTAGCATACCCTGAAACCCCTCTAAACGAAATCCTAAGCCTTAAACACCAAGCCGTAAAGCCCTCTTATTCACATGGGACTGAATCAGGGACCAAAGAAACCGATGACGATAAACCCCGATAACATGTCACATTGCATTCTACTCGCTGGAAGCAAGCGGTTTTGCCATTCTAAGGCGTGCAGCTCCATTCGAGAAGCGTGCAGCCCTTTGTTACAGTCTATACTCTAAGCCCAAGCCCAAAGCTCCAACGCCCGACATCACCAAACCACAAACTCTAAGCTCCTTGACCCTGAAGTCTTCAGCCCTAGGCCAATACCGCAAGTGCTTTGATCTTCCCTGCAACTTCCCTAAAACCTAAGCCCAGAAACCCTAAACTCAGAAAGCCCTGAGTCGCCCCTACCCGGGGCATGCGAGCCTCACGTCCTTGACCCCTAAGCCGATGATCTTAAAATCCTGAGCCCAGCGCCAACTCCCCAAACCTCTACGTGTTTGTAATAACTACAAGAGGGTTTTCGGGCCCGTTTATGCTATAATTATGCTGAGGAACCCCAAAATAGTATAGGTGAAACTTAAGGCCCCTATATAACATCCTTATAATAGCCTTTGCAGTAGCCCCCCTTTAAAGCTCCTAGCGCTGTAAGGCTCGCTGAATCATCGGCTGGCCGAGTTCGATGGGGTCGGCCCCTGGCTGACGGGCCTATTGCCCTTTGCCTTCCCTTTGGGGTTTAGGGATGTTTAGGGTTTAGAGCTTAGTGAATTAGGGTATTCTAGGAAGAGTTGGTATGTCGGGGGGTTTGGGGGGGTGGGGTGTGTCTGGGTTGCATGGGGTTTGGTAGGGTGAACACGGGAATTAGCAGTCTTCGGGCTTTCAGGGAGCCATGGTGAGGCCAGAACGCCAGTCTGGCTTAAGGCCCCGAGCCTAAACCCTAAGCCAATAGACCTCGCCTGCATGTCCGAGTGTGAGCGCCGAAACCCCCAGAAAATGCGGAGCCTACGGCTGCGGAGAGCAACGAGCGAGAAACCCCCAGAAAAACGGAGGAGGGGAGGTTTGAGTCCTTCGGGGAGGGCTTTAGGAGATCTTCACATCGAGCGTGGGGGGGTTTCCCTATACCGTAATAATTGGGATCGCTAGTTCTCACCCCTTGTAGCAATGATCCTATGAGGTCCCCTGGGGTTTAGGGTTTAGGATTTAGGGTTTAGGGTTTAGGGTATTCTGAATCTCCCCTGTCTGGGAACTTAGGAAGATTTAGGCTGTGGCCGGGGAGGTTTAGGGCGTTGGGGAGGGCTCCTTGGGATTGAAGGACTTAGTGTTTCGGGTTCCTCAGTTCATAAGCCTTAAACCGTAAACCCCTAAACCCTTAACCCTACACCCTAAATGTAAGTCGAATCCCCCAAACTCTGATACCGTATATACCCTAAGCAGCCCGTAATATTAGATAGAGCCTTGTAGTTCAAACGACCTTCGGCCTGATTCGTAGCCCTACATAGAGTTTATCATAAGTTTAACTCCTTAGCGGTTTAACCCATGCTTTTTCTAGCTGCATGCCGCTGACTGTGCCGCTCTAAACGGGTGGCGTGGAGCTTGATTAAGACCCAGAGACTCCAATATCCCTTAATTAAGGAATATTCCTTATATCATATTAGGGATCCTACTGTAATTTAAGGAATATTCCTTAATTAAGGGATATTGGAGTCTCTGGGGACATTTGTTCGGCCTTGTTTGCTTTCATGCGACTTTCTGGAGCATTTGTTGACCAGGGGTGTCTGAACCCGGTTCCGATACAGTGGGGCGTAGGGTTTGTGAGTTCGACGTGGGTTCAGGTTTTGGTGTTTGTTGGGTTCAAACTTGGGAATATCCCCACTTTTGGCCAGGTTCAGCCTGATTTTCTCTTAGCTACCTGCGATGTCAAGATCAAACAGTCGCCGACATCGTAAACACACACCTGCTTTCATATGTTGTGCTAATCCTGAACCCTAATCTGGAACCCAAATCCCAAGTACGGGTCGATAAGCCAAATCACTTCCCAGAACTCGGGGTTCTGGACCTTAAGCCCAAAAATTTTCAGCTTTACAAACAGATAGTCAAACTTTTCACGATGCCCTGAAGTCGCGTCCCATTTCAGGCAGATGACGCTGGGCATGTTCCCGCCAGCCAAGTATGGAGACTTCCGGAGTGAAGTTGCCGTTTTGGTGGCCGTGTCGGTGTTTGTGGCAGTGCCTGGGTCGCAACTCGAGGTCCAAGGGTGCAGGGTTTGGAGCTTTTTAGCTGTTCTTCTCGTGGTTTAAGGTTTCTTGGTGGGATGGGCGGGTGGGGGTTTAGGTCTTTCGCGGATATTTGTGTGGGATTTGGGGTTTGAAGGGCCTCACGGTTCGAAGCGGGCCGTGGCAGGTTCCGTGATTGGCATCGTGGCATAGCAGTAAACCCTAGACCCTAAACCCTCTGAAGCTCGATCTTTGTGGCATTCCTGCTGCTGCCAGAGCCGTACACCTAGACTGCAGTACGGAAACCTACTGATTGTGCTGCGCTGAAGCAGGGCCCTTTCGTTTGTGGTGGCTTTCGTAGCTATGGTTTCCTTAAAGATTCTGTTCTCTCATGCTTCATTGAAAGGTTGTTCTGACTTGTTGCGTTACTCTTTATATCTTTTGGGGCCTTAGGGACCCCAAAGGACACAAGCATAAGCAGCTTAGTGTGTTGCTTCATTATATGGGAAATCCCTATCTTATTGGTTGTCCATGTGCTTTTTTGGGGCCGTTATCTTCATACGGCTTCATACGGGGGATTTAGAGTAGATGAGCCGCCGGCGGATCTCTGGGACGGAATTCAATTGTTTTTGCAGGGCAGGGCCTGCAACATCCTCTGAGGAGTCGAAAATCCTCGAGCCGCAAAGCAGTACACCCTGAATCCTCAATTCTCCGCGCCGTGAAAGCCTTGGAAGTCGAGACCGTAAAATCTATTGATTCCCTGGAGCCCCAAGCCATAAACACCCTAAGACCGTCTGAAGTGAAAAGTTCTTATAGGACGTTACAGTCACTTCTCATATAACCTCTTTATACTCACCCCCCAGACCCTCAACCACATGTAGGGAGCCCTGACAAGATCCTTTTTGACGAGGCCCTTCAAGGAAGTGCGCTCGACCCTGAAGGCCTAAACGAATACACGAAGCCATGAACCCTAAAACTAGACCCTGAACACTAAACCTTGGACCTCCAAAGGTCATCAGCATCTTCCTGGTCAACCTCCTGGTCGTCTCGTCTGCCTGGGCGTTCGCTTGTGTTCTTTTTTTTTCGCAAGGGGAAGGCTACTGCAACGATTTCGGTGTTTTTGTGTTTAGGCATCTCTCGAAATTTTTGGGATGCCTCGTTTAGGAATTCTCATAGTGAGGATCTGACTGCTTTGGGCTCGTATTGGGGCTCGGAGTTCTGGGTGTGGGCAGTGCGGCCCAGTCTCCACGTGGATGCTGACTTTGGCCACCAGGCTTCTACTTCGCGGATCCTGTATCCGAAACCTGATCTAGCGGTCGGGTCGGAATGATTAGCAACCTAGCCGCTTCATCGACGATAGGCCCCCTTCCCCAGACCCTATTGAACCAATTTAGGCTCCTATGTGACCTCCATTGCTGTCACCGCCAGCTGGTCCCACGCGCTCGTTTGATAGAAGACAACCCAAAGGCGCCCGTATGACGGATCCCTAGTTTTCTGAAACCCTGTGCATGGTCTCTTTCCGTCCGATGTGCTCACAACACCGAGGCGATCGACCTTCCTGAGATTCAAACTCATCAATGCAGAATAGGAATAATGCGTCCATCCACGGCACAAGTAGCCGTCGCAGAACGTTTCGCACCGCCCCAGTTGAAGGGCGACTTACACACTCTGTGCATCTGCGACTGTTTGAACCTCCGATCTTGTAGACCCCGTCGGGAGGTTCCGAAAATAAGTAGGGGGTATCCGTATTTTCGGGTCCTTCTCGGAAGGATCCGACTATTTAGGGTGCTATATTAGGGTCACCTACTTTCGGAAACTCCCAGTTTCGGGCCTCCGAGGTAGCTCAGCTGAATCAGTCCTACCGCGACATCTTCGAGGACATGCAGGGCTTCGCTCGCCTGACGCTTCAGCTTCAAGTTGGCTTAGGGTTTAGGGCTTAGGGTTTAGGGTTTAAGGGTTTAAGGGTTTAGTTAGGGGTTTAGGGTAGTTTTTTGTTTACGCTGTTTCGGCTTCAAGTTAGCGCGCGTCTGTCGCAACCCTGAAACCCACGGCCCCAAAATTCACTCATTCGGTTCTTGTCTGGCCTACTCGGAGGTTCCTGGGTAGTTATAAGTGGGGTGATAAGTCCCTTCATGTGGGTTGTAACTATAGTTATCCTAGTTATAACCCTACTTATAACTACCCATGAGCCTCCAGGTAACACCCCACCTGGCTTTGACCTTCGAGTTTTTTTGGGATCTTTCTGGGCGCTGTGGCAGCCGGGTCTTTCTTACGAGACACGGGACTCACAGATGTTCCGCTGAGTTGAGTATAGTATAGAATAGCATAATATAGAATAGCATAGTATAGTATAGCATGTATAGTATAGTGCAATAATTTATGAGAAGCCGTTCTGCGCCAGAACTCCCCTGCCTACGTCAATAGCCTCAATAGGCCCTTGAGCACCAAGGAATCGAGCCAGTGTGACATCGGATATCATAGACCAGATGAGCCGCAAGAAGTGGAGCAAGTTCCTCGGTCACCTCCGCTCCGCGGCGCAGGAAGCAACCAAAACCGCTCGCGGGATGCAGCCTTGTACATTAAGACTGCTATGTGTAGTACAGTATGTAGTACTTCATTCTGCTATTCTCCACTATTATAAATAGTACTTCATTCGACTATTCTGGACTATCTCATACTACAGATGCTTTCGGCGACATATGACATATGTAGCGTTTTTTCCTGTAGCTTCTGCAAGCACGGAGGCATTGATGGCATTCCACCCAGGACCAGAGCTTCAAGGCCTCGACCTACAAGCCTTGAGCCAGAAAATGTCAGAAAATGGGGTTAGGGGGTAAAAAAGGGGCCTACTACTTTGGGGTTCCTTATTATAAGCATCGAAAAATGGGCACCAAAAGCCTATTCTAATTATGAAGGCCACTAAAGTACCTCACAATGGGGCACGCAGTTGTTAAGACAACCTGCGCCAGACGCCCCTCGATAAACCCAGGCAATGCAAAACCTAAGACCCGAACACCCTCAAGCCGAACAACCCAACTCTCCTCCAAAACAAGCCCGCTATCCTAGAGCCCCCACGAAGCCCGAAACCCCAATAAAAGACCCCGTAAGCATTCTTAGCCCTCAATGGCCAAGGTTTCGAGGACCCACTGGAGTTCAACGAGGGAGATGCCCCTCATCCAAGCCAAGAGTTACTGTCAAAGTTAACGGCAGGCATTCTGCAGGGGAGCTGTCAAGGTTGTTTTCGGAGGGGGGCGGGGGCCGATCTCGGTTTGGGTTTATGTCTGTTGGAGGAACAGCCACGACCCTAAACCGTGACTGTGACTGTGCTGTCAAAACCCTAAGCCCTCAAAAGTAGGAGGCAAGAAAACTGGCCTCAATGCAGAGGGCTTGGTAACCCTAAACCATCCCTAAACCTCCAACCCCTTCACAGGAGCTCTTCTGAGTGTTTATCCTCAGTGTCCATATTCTTATTCTTAAGGCTGCAATTTCTCGAAGCCGTAAACCCTAACCCCTAAGCCTAAACCTTATTCTTATTGCTACAGTTTCAATGATTCCTGTCACGATCATTTTGAGGTCGGCATGGCCGGCGGCATCCAGGTGCTAGAGCCTGCAAATGCCAACATGGTCACAGAGGCCAGGAAATTGGTTGCGATGCCTCACTTGGGGCTATAAGTAGTTATACGATAAGGGCTGTTATAAGGATTTAATATAGGGGCCTGAATAATTAGCATAGGGTTAGTTACGATGTAACCCCAAACCCATGTCAACCATTGGTGGGGGGAGATGAGGGGGTCCCTGTATTAACCCGTAACCCAGATGGAATCTCAACCCGGAGGTTTTGGTGCATCATCCAAGGTTGCTCTAGACATCTCTAGACTCTCATTGGCATGGGCCTTTAGGTATTCTCGGCTACGCTCTTCCAGCGATCTCCACGTGTTGCTGGCCTCTGCCGGCCTTCCAAAAGCAAAGGAAGTAATGCCTTGTTTGTGCCTTGCTTGGCGACGGCACGTTGCCAGGCTCTCCTTGTGCCTTGGGTTGCATGGGTTCCTTTCGGTACGGCAGTGATCTCCACGGCCAAATAATTGATCGGGCTAGGGGCTGCAAGGAAGTGCACGAAGCACGCTTTTTAAAGCGTCTTGGAAGGCGTTCTGATTCTTCTCGCCCTTTCGCCTCCTTACAAGTTTTTTCAGAAAGCTGCTTAGCCGGTCGCACAGTCCCCAAGCATGGAGAGCGAGACCTGGCCCTGCTTTCGCAGGACATCATCAAAAGATATGGTGGCCCCACTGCGCCGTCAACGCCCTGGCCACAGGACTGAGAGCCTCACATTCCCATATCGGACAACAAGGGGCGCCCTAATGTAGATCCTAAACAGTCAGGGTCAGAATGAGGGAGCCCCCATTGAACAATACTCCAAATTGTCAGAGATTGCCTGGTGACGACTATTGAAAGAGAACCCGCTTGAGGGCTCAGGAGGTCAGGTTTAGATTGCACTGTTCTCGTGCCAGTCCAAGGGGAAAAGGAGGGGCCCTTCATAAGGACCCCTTGGTATATACCCTTAATAAAGCTATTATATACCCATTAAATAGCCCATCATAGGGTAGGGGGTCCCCATGAAGGGTCCCTCCTTTTCCCCTTTGAGCCAGGATCGCTTTTTCATCTGCGGCACGGGTTCTTAAAAGCTCCGGTCTGGGCCAAGCGCGTCGTTGGCTGGTGTCAGCCCGTTATTGCAGTCTTCTTGGGAGTTCCGAAAATATATACGAGACCATAATAATATAGCACACTAAATAGTAGGATGCTTATTTTTCCGACCCCTAATTAAGGTAACCCTAGTTGTCGGAGCCCCGCTTATAATCGGCCTTATAAAGCCTTGCAGAACTTGAAGCCGCCGTATAGAACCCCGTAGAACTCTCATAGGATCCCATTGAACCGTTGTCAGATTCCGCGATCCTGAGACCCTGACAGAACTTTCAAGTAACAGCTGCTCTAGATTCTAGATGACACGAGTTGTACCGTCAGAGTGCTTGCTCTGTGCAGCCTCGGGAGCCGGCGATATCGGATTTAGGGTTATAGGACGATGATGCAATAGGTTCAATCTGTGGCAGCCCGTAAACCCTAAAGCTCAAAACCCCCTAAACCTTGAAAGTAACTTCATAACATAGTAGCCTTCTCATCCCTTTTCAGTACCTACACTCTAGTACCCTTGCAGCATCTACTAATAGGAACTTGAAGTGATGATTACCTGTACTAAGTTGGGTGTTCCTTACTATAGCTATAGTATAAGTGGCCCCAGAGCCCTATTCTAATTATGAAGGCCCCAGGAACCCTCTTCTACTTAATAAGCCCCTACGTCAGTCTTCGGAGGAGCCCGACGAGCAGAACGATGAGAGCAAGTTCGCGCGACTCGAGCAGCTGGGTTTTGGAGTACCATACTTTAATACACTTTTCCTTAAAGGAACCATTATTAATACATTTTTCTTAAAGGAACCATTATGAAATGACAGTTTATGCTTCTTTCTCCCTGGTTACTTAAAAGCCCAGGAAGCTGATCATCCGGGCCACCAAGAAGACGAAAGACAAGGCAAAATCTCCGGTTAGGGCTTCAGGCCTTCATAGTTGGTTTCCTTCAAGGGTTCCTCTTAAGGGTCTATAAGGTAAGGATAACGATAAGGGGTGTTATGAGCGTTTGGTATAGGGGCCCAAATCAAATACCTATACTATTTTGGGGGCTCCTTATTGTAATGATAGCATAGTTCTTAAGGGTGAAGAAATCTTGGATATGATATTTCTGCTGTATAACACCCTGGATTTTGCGTGAACACATGACAAATATGTTTTTTTTGTCTTCTTAACTCTTTCGGGCCGCTGCTGACTTGCTTGGGTTTTGTGCCCCGTCCAGCACCTTCTCCGCCCCGGATCTTCGGGGTGTAGGATTTCAAGTCTCGGGTGTCGGTTTAGGGTATCCAGGGTTCAGGGGAACTGTAAACCCTAAACCCTGCGCCGAAACCCTAAACCCTAACCCCTAACCCCAGGCGTCTCGGCCCTCAGCTTCGCATGCTGCATGTTGGTTTGGATCTATGATGAAGTCATGGTTCAACTTTTTCTACGTGTGTTTCACTTTTTGGTTGTTAGGAAGGGAGCCGGCATTTTGCTGGCTACACCGCCAGAGCCCAATGTCGGGAAGCGCGGGAAGCGAGAGCCACCAGCGTGAGCTCGAGCAGGCCACTGGGTATATGATGGAGCAGCGCCGGCTCACCCAGCACACGGCCTACCAGGCGCAGCAGGCCATGTGGTTCGCGGCACGCCACAAGCGTGGACCACCCAGCACGGTGGAGAGCTCCATGGCTACACCGCAGCTGGACACGGAGATGGAGGAGTCACAGGCTCGCCCAGGACCTCTGCCAACCATGGGGGCTACACCGCTTTTTCAGCCCATCCCGGTCGAGCGTGATGCCTCCTTTAGTATGGCTGCAGCCCAAGCTGGCGTGGACATCAACTCTCAAAGTGAGTTGCAAGCCTACATGGCTACACCGCTCACCACCAGGGCAGAGGTGCTGGAGACTATTCGGCACTACCATGTGGGAGTCATTCGGCCTGAGGTCTTCAACCTCATCAGCCAGGTCGAGCAGGTGGTGGCCAAGCTCGACGACAAGATCCTCAAGACCCAGGACAATATGAACTGGCTCGCCACAGAGTGCCGGACCCTTCAGAAAAGGGAGAGTGGACTGCTGGTGGTTACAACTGGTTGGGACACGTCTATGTCTCCACAGCAAAGGCTATTTCAGATCAACTGGATGCTGGGACAAGTGGAGTCTATCAGGCAGTTCCTCACCCAGCGTAGCTACAACGCCTCCGACTCCTGCACCTACTGGTACTTGGGAGCTCTTCAGCTGGAGCCGAGTACACCGCCTGCAGGGGAGAATCGCTGGTCCACTGTGACCATTCTGCAGTTCAAGTCGTGGGACTTGCGGCGCTCTTTCATGGAGTGCTATGGTGGAGGCAATGGTACACCGCTATATCGTGAAGACAACCAGCCGGTACCCAACCACCATATCCGCTGCACCCCCTCCTCACCGCAATTTCAACGCAAACTTGAGGTTCCTTTGAGGGTGGTGCTTGCACTCTACAACAAGCACTGCGAGATGACGGCTACACCGCCAGGCCAGCTCGTGATATTATGGCGCACACTTACTGTGATGAAGCCATCGGAAACGCGCGACTTCAACGAGCAGGCTGAGGCATGGGCCCGAGTTCACTACTTCGAAAAGGATGGCACCGTCCAGGGCATCTTGGAAGTGGCCCCGGATCTCTATGCGATGCTGAAGGCTACACCGCCTTTGGGAGCAGAGGAGAATACACTCTGGGACTACACCTGGAACAAGACGGTTTTTGGCGTTCAAAACGAGATCGACGCCGCTGAGAGCCAGATTTTTAAGCAAGCTCAGGCTTCCGCCAAAGGCGGAGGCAAAGGGCTACACCTCGGAAAGGGCAAAGCCCACTGGTCCTCTCCTTTCATCCACAGCAGTGCTTTTAATCCATTCCCGGTCCCTCTTGCGGTGAATGAAGTGTCGGCTGTGGCGTATTCCTGGGATGAGTATTGCGACAAAATGCGCGATCCATCCAAAAAGGTGGGCAACTATGCCTCGGGTACATATGCAGGTGCACCTCAGGCTACACCGCCAGGAGACGATGCTATGGGGGACGATCCTTTCGAAACCCCTTCGGGCCACACCGCAATGGCTAGTACGGCCAAAGGTGCTGGCAAAAAGGGCCGTGGTAAAGCCGGTTCCTGAAGGCCTCCTGGCGCGGTTCCACTTTTTTGCACGTTTCGCCCTGAAAATCGGGCTACACCGCCAGGCTCCCCGGACCCCTCGACTTACAGTTTTTTAAGGCTGCCTTCCCCCTTTGAATCCTTTCTTAAGGGTTGGCGCCGTCGAGGGGCTGGGTTTCAGAGCCGCGGTGTTCCTCTTTTAATTCGGCGAGCGCATTTTCCGCTGCGCTTTTTGCAGAGCAGTCTCCACTCAAGGCTACACCTCCTACATTATAGTTTCGGATGGGATAGGAGCCCCTTACGCAGAAAAGACTTTAGGAGAAAGCACAAACCCAAGCCCCGTAGAATATCTCACCCTACACCCGGTAATTACTTTTCCCGCCTAGCTTGTGGCCTGCTCCTACCTTTTGCGGTTGTTCACTTCTACACCGCCCCAATAAGGTACTCCCTTTCCATAATAGCCATGGAGTCCCTTCTAATTCATCGTTTGTTTTTGCTGACCCTCCGCACTGCGACCAAGTGCTGGCAAAAGAAAGTGCCCGCCAATCAGAGTACACCGCCTATAAGTAAAATATTCCATTCCCCATTCGAGCTAGCCCTACACCCAACCCTTGCAGTGGCATTCCTGATTATCTTGACTACACCGGGTACATTAGGATACGATCTCTGGCTCCAGTTACATCTCAACGCCTTAATGCATGCCCTACATGGTAATACCACCACCAGCCCTAGAGTCATTCCTTGAGGCCCTACAACCAGATACCCCTATGGAACCCGAGTTCCCCATGAACATCATCAAAATCTCTAGATCAGCACTCTTAGACCTTAGGCCCACACCGGACCCTACAAGCACCTTTAGTGCATTATTTAGCACTCCTCCGAAAACACAAAGCATATCCAGAATTCAACATAGAACCGGTCGCCGCAAATGTGGCTACACCGCCTTAGGTACCAAATATTTCTACACTAGCAAAAATAAAAGGTTTTCAGTGCCCCCTAAAAGGCTCCGGCACCATCATTCCAAAGTATCACAGGCACCGACTAATTCAGATAATTCACAGAATTCATTAGAACAAGCTGTAAAGCCGCCTCCGCCTCAACGAGGCACGCCGGGAGTTGCTACGGCAACAGTCGAAGAGAGTACACCCCATTCCCCGCCTCCCTCTTCCCTTTTAGGCTGGGGTGCCCGAGCTCGCGCGTCACGTCGGCGATTTTATCGCCAGTGGCGGCGACTCGCTAGGGAAAACATACTACCGGAGCGCTTGGGTAACGCGTCGGTAAGAGGAGGGGATCCCTTGAAAGCAGTCAACCAATGTAGGCTCAAGGGTATACGCAACGCTACCGCGTTCCGTAACCTAGTCCTAAAGCAGACGTCACTTTGTTCTCGGCGCCAACCTATACAACGCCCCCAGGCTACACCGCAACTTAGCTATGGGACCAGGCTTAGGATAGGCACCCAGAACGTACAGGGCATGATGGAAATACTCAAACACCAATCCGTTCTCCAGCTTATTAAGGACACCCAGTTAGACCTGATATTTCTAACGGAAACCCACGCAAAATCCTACTACGCCTTCCACTCCAGTCACAATCTTTTTGTAGTTAACGGCAACAACAAAGATAAGTGGTCAGGGGTAACGGCCGTGATTACACCGCACCTGCAGCCCTACATTAAACAGGTCATTCAACACACCTCCCGCATCCTTCAAATCACCCTTTCAGTATCGTCCGGGGATATACATTTCATCGGAGTCTATGTTCCCCATGATAAGTCGGACGTTGAAACCCGAAAGGACCCCTTTTGGCAGAAGCTAGAGCACGTCGTATCAGGAATACCTTTACCAGAGCCATACTACATAATCGGGGATTTCAATGTTCGACTTCAGGGCAGAAGCAAACAGGAACACGACCAGCTCGGCCCCCACATATATGGTAAAGGCTTCCTACACGCTAATACCCAACCCCAGTCAAACCGCACCTACTACCTTAACTTCCTACAATCAGAAGCTGCAATTGACGCCCTTACTTTCAAGCAACCCAACCCCCTGAAACATGTTACATATCGGGATAAATACCCCCCACCTCAAACGTGGGAACAATTTGTACTGGACCCCATAATTATGCTTCAGGTTTGGGATCAAATACAATCCCTTCCCGCCACCCCAGAAGCCGCCTTAGAGATTGCATTCAATATTCGTAACTTCATCGGCCTTGACTACACCGCCCCCCAGCACCTGGCTACACCGCAAGTAGACCCTCTCAGATTCCAAAACTTAGACAAGTTAGTCACACGTAAGAAGTGGCTCCCCACAATTTTAAGGCTGGAATCTAAACTACACACGGGCTTTCCCAGCGATCATTATCTACTACAGGCAGACATCAAAGTCAAGCTAGGCGCAAAAAAGCATCCGCCCCCGCGCCCCCCCAAGTTCGACTACACCGCCACCCCACAAAATAAACAACATTTCAACGCAGTTTTTCGACAACAAATGGGACTACAGCCGCAGACCGCCGCAAAGACCACGCTTAAAAGCGTACAGGTTTACACAGACGGCTCGGGATCCTCAGGCCGGTGTACCGCGAGTACCCCCGCTGGTTGGGGATTTGTGCTCATAGACAACGACACTCCAGTTCATCAGGCTCGGGGCCCGGTTACCACGGACCCCCGCTGCCTTTACTACTTAGGGGCCACCGTAGGCAGCAACAACACCGGAGAACTCACAGCGTGGATAGAGGCAGCCCTCTATCTTCTCCAGGCTACACCGCATGAATCAGTCACTTTTATCTACGACAGTCAATGGGTCCACGGCATGGTCACTGGAAAATATAAACCCAAACGTCACAAAACGCTGGTCTACCTTTCAAAAAAAATCTATCACCAATTACAAGCTAACACCAATGTACACTGGCAGTGGGTAAAGGGGCACTCAGGAGAGGAATACAATGAACTAGCTGATGAGCTCGCAGGCAAAGGCAAAGCAGATGGACAATGGGTTGGCGGCCGCAACAGCCAACAAACCCCATTAACGCCCTCCACACTGCCCGAGGACCAGCGCACTACAGCCCCTACGTCGTTGGACGCACACAACGCCAAACTGGTCAACGCCCTCAAAACCGCCGAACAGGCCGCCTTTCAGCCGCTAAGATATGCGCCTAAAGCCGAATGGATCACACCGCAACTAGCGGAAGAACTCCACAAAAACAAGCGCCCCAGACAAAACCACAGCCAAGAGGCTTTCGCGCACCACCGCCAGCTCAAGAATATGGCACGCAAGCTCAAAAGACAATGGGTCAGAACGCAACTTACCCAATCACAGAAAGTTTCCGCAAAGCATTTTTGGTCTACCATCCGCAAACTCAAGTCAGGTTTCAGAGAGCGCAAAACGCGCCTCAAAGTCGACGGTAAACCTGTTCCCTGGTCACAACAGCACGAAGCATTTGCCAAATTCCTTTCGGAAACCCAATGGGCTCCATCCGAGGTCACAGCAGAGGAAAGACAACTCCTTAAGGACTCTCCCCCGCTACACCCCCCTCCCCAGGCTACACCGCAGCTCTTCTCTATGGAAGAATTATCAACAGTTATACAAAACCTCAAAAAAGAGAAGGCACCGGGCCCCGACGGAATAAAAAACGAGGCCATACTCCTCCTGGATTACATTGGAGAGCAGGAAATTCTAGCCTTAATGAATCGTTGTATCACGGAAAGAAAGGTCCCCCAGGACTGGAAAGACGCTTTCGTGGTCAGTACTTACAAGGGAAAGGGTCATGACTCTGATCCGGCTAACTACAGACCTATAGCCCTTCTCAGTACATTATATAAAGTTTACGCCGCGCTACTTCAGAAACGCTTAGCCAAAGCCCACGACCACCATTTAAGAGGCACACAGTATGGCTTTCGAGTACACCGCTCTACTAATGACCCTTTGTTTATACTACGCAGGCTACAAGACTACTCATTAAAAACAGGCCGTAGCTTCCAACTCCTATTTTTAGATTGGCGTATGGCTTTCGACAAAGTAGATCATGAGTCCATGATTATAGCCCTAGAACGCCTGGGAGTACACCGCCAGTATGTGGAAATAATAACTGACCTTTACACAGACCAGATCTTCCATACAAAGGGTAGATTAGGAGAAACTAAACAGGCTACACCGCACACAGGCATTCGCCAAGGATGCCCTCTTAGTCCCTATTTGTTCATCATGGTAATGACAGTCCTATTTCATGATGTTGATACGCGCTTGCGCACACACGGCGTCCCCACCAATACCTGGTCCATAGGAAAGCCCATTTACGACTTAGAGTACGCGGATGACACCCTTTTAATGGGAGTCACCACAGAACAAACCAATGAATTCCTTAAAGCATTACAGGTAGAAGCTACGCTTTACGGTATGCTCCTTAACCCCACGAAAACAGAACACCTTCCCCATCCTCAGGCTACACCGCAAACACTTCAGTTTGCAAATGGAGAACTTGTCCCACAAACGGATACCTCTAAGTATCTAGGCACCAAAGTTTCATGGGACGCACCTACTAAAACGGCCATCGAAGATCGAAAAACCAAGGGCCACACAGCATACATGAAGCTACAACAGCTGTGGCGAAGCAAACTTAACACTCGCGCCAAGGTCAGAATCTTCCATTCCACTATTGTCCCCTCTCTAATTTATAGTCTAGACACGCTTACCCTCGAACTTAGGCACTTTAAAACCATAGACGGCTGGTACCATAAATACCTTCGCCGCTGTATAGGTGTTAAAGCATCATACTTCTCGCATGTTAGTAATAGAAGAGTATGGGTTTTTGCAGGTCGACCGAAGTTGCCCTCCCAAATTCTTCTCGAACAACAAATCCAAAGGCTCTGCAAGCTCCTGGCTACACCGCCCGATAACCCCCTCCACCACGTAGTCTTTGCCCCCGGCTATAAGGATAGAATCAAGTTTACCAAGTCTGCCCGCAGCGGACACCCCCAGCGATACTGGCTAGAGCAAGTTGCGGAATGGACCCTACCAGTATTCCAAGCCCACCTCGACCAAACCGCCCAAGACAGTAGAAGAGACTTATTAGGACTAAAACAGTATTTACAGCTACACCCCGAATATAGCCTACAATTGGAGACTGCGCCGACGCGCTCGCCTGCTTTGTTCAAAAGACACGTTACCCTTGGATGCGCATGGCAACCGTAAAAACCCCTAACCCCTATACCCTAAACCCTGAAGCTCACACAGCCACCACCGCAGGGGGCCAAGGGCAAGAAGACGCCAAGCGCCTTGGACGCCTCTGACCTCGGGTCTGACCAGGCCCGCCAGCTCTGTTGGGATGGGAGTTTCCGAAAATTAGGGGACCCTAAAATAGACCTTAAATAGTAGAATAAGGTACCCCTCATTTTCGGAAACCCCCATATACTATACTATATTATATGTACTAGGTCAAGCAGGGCTGAAGGTGCCTATGAACGTAACCCGTCCTGGACCCCAAAGTTTTCCCCTGCAGGCATCCGACTTCGCCCGGAGTGGTTCGCAATGAGATGACAGAATGCACGTAGTATAGGTTGTGTGCCTGCACCTGTTGTGTACACGATTGTAGCCCCCCTTAGAAACTGATGAGAAGCATCATACCCCAACGACTTCTGCTGCAGGCATCCGACTTTCAACGGAGTACTTCGAAATGAGATGACGGCATGCACGTGGCACATAATTACCTCCGCTGTGTGCCTGCATCCCACCAGTACACGATTGAAGGGGCCCTGACACGAGCCTCTGGCACTTGCCACCACCAGCACCACCGTCACCTCCGCCATCACATCGACAGCATAGTCACCGGGATCATCACTTCTACTGTCATGATACTCGCAATATCCCGTGAGCCGAAAGAGCGGACGCGGTTTTGCTGGTCGAACCATGTATCCGCACCTGCCCACAAAAAAGCGCTACTCCTACACGGTCAAATTCATCAGAGCTTTGGGGTAAGGGCCTGATTGCCACGATTGGCGTTGGTGCTGCCGCCACTGTCATCTCTCTCGGTGTGTCTACCACGAGTATAGATACCGACCATCCTGCTTTTTTGCCAAAACGGCCCCGAATAGCCCCAGCCTGGCACACAACTTTAATTAGCTTCGGCTCAGTCAGAAAGCCTGGAAACATGGGCTGCGTAGGGTGCCTTGGCAGTAACCAGCGAAGCCTAAACCCTAAACCCCTAAACCCCTAAACCCTAAAGGCCCTAAGCCCTACCAAAACCCTGAGCCCCTGGCCTGGCTAGGATCAATCCTAAGGCCGATCACTGCCGAGGATCCCGAGTAGTGGGCAAAGCCCATCTTGCGACCTTTCACTGCCTGCTCGCAAAGGCTGAACACACCTAGGACCTAGCTAGACCAGAGCTCGAGTTCTCACTTCCATCCATCGGCCTTCGTAGATGTCTAGGGGCTGGTGGAAAATGTCTTCAGTGCCTTCAGCTCCACAGAAGTGCTTTGGCCCCCGGCGTATCTTGATGGCCAAAGTTTTAGCAGCCCCTGAAGTTGAGGCCGCACTCCAAAGGAGCAAGCGGCCACAAAGAGCCGAGCAGCGACGATGCCATGCTCGCTTTGACGCCTCTCAGGGCTCCGTGGGGCCGCGACGTAGGAGGTTTCAGGCAAAAAGGGCTCCAAGGGATGTGATGGTATCGGTTTAGGGTTTAAGGTTAAGGCTTATGGCGACGAGAAATTTCAGAGCTACGCTTTGCTGGGATTTTTGCACGGGCATGGAGGCGAAACTGCACGTCCTGAAGGGCTCTCGCGGCACTCCGTCAGGCTTGAAACCGTCAGCAATCCGTCACACCTCGAGTAGGCCGGAGAGACTCCCCAAGTCGAGAACTGATCCTAGTAGCTTCCAGCAATGGCATCGCCAAGGAAAGAGTTTCCAAGGCTAACAGGAGAGGAGACCTCTGCGCGTAGTGCCAAGCCCGCTTTACCGAGCAATGCGGGCAGGATGCTGTTTCGGGAATTTGGGCCATAGGGTTTACAGGCTTAGGCTACTCTTTCCTTTGCCGGAATCCGAATCCGAAAAACCCGTGAATGCTGGCCAAGTGCAAGAGTAAACTTACGGCAGTCTTAGTCCGTTAATATTTTTGTAAAGCCAACCGGCCGAGAGTGAATCGAGGCCGGGTTTTGCAGGGGAATGTCGGAAAAGCAGTGAATGTACAGGTCGCCTCTTCGTTTCAACTCCGGAAAGAACCCTAAGATCAAGCCTGGCATGTGCCGTCTACTTGGAGGTTCAGGGGTAGTTATAAGTGGGGGGATGAGTTCCTTAATATGGGTTATAACTATAGTTATCCCACTTATCACTAACCATGAACCTCCAAGTAGACTCCGCAGCTCGCTTTTCCCATTTCCCAGTTTCACCACGCAGAGCGAGGGTGTTCTTTGGTTTTCTTGATGCTAGTCTAGCATGTGACGCATAATGGTACTGGTTGCTGACGCTGATGAAAACATTCGTGCAATGTGGAAGCAAAATCATGAAGAAGAGGAGTGAGGTTGCGGCGAAGATGAGTTTCAGATAAGCGGCATTGTGCTTGTTGTCATGTTGGCGGTGAAGATGAAGATGATGACGATAAGACTTTGTGCTGCTCGATGATGATGACGGTGATGCTAGTGGCTTTGCGATGGTGCTCATGCTACTCCTACTGCTACCACTGCCGCTGCGCTGCCACTGCTGCCGGAACTGCTACTGCTCCTACTACTACTCCTGCTAATACTTCTGCAACAACAACTACCACTACTACCACTACTACTACTACTACTACTGCTGCTGCTGCTACTACTACTGCTACTGCTACTGCTACAGTTACTGTTACTACTGTTACTACTACTACTACTACTACTACTACTACTACTACTACTACTACTACTACTACTACTACTACTACTACTACTACTACTACTACTACTACTACTACTTCTACTACTTCTACTACTTCTACTACTTCTACTACTTCTACTACTTCTACTACTTCTACTACTTCTACTACTTCTTCTACTTCTACTTCTACTTCTACAACTACAACCGCTGCTACTACTCCTGCTGCTGCTACTGCTGCTACCGCTGCTACTGCTGCTACTACTACTACTGCTACTGCTACTACTACTACTACTACTACTACTACTACTACTACTACTACTACTACTCCTGCTAATACTTCTACAACAACAACAACTACAACTACAACAACAACAACTACTACTACTACTACTACCACTACTACTACTACTACTACCACTACTACTACTCCTACCACTACTACTACTACTACTACTACTGCTGCTACTACTACTGCTACTGCTACTGCTACAGTTACTGTTACTACTGTTACTACTACTACTACTACTACTACTGCTACTACTACTACTACTACTACTACTACTGCTACTACTACTCCTAGAACTGCACTACTAGAACTGCTTCTGCTCCTGCTGTTGCTGCTGCTGCTTCGCCTGCGACAGCTAGTGCTACTGCTGCAACTGCTACCACTACCACGACTACTTCTCCTACTGCTACCTTTGCTACCCTTTAACTGCAAGTTTTATTGTCACTACTGTTTAGTACTTCTTGCTACAGCTTTGCTAGTGCAACAGGTCTCTGGTCGGCTGGTGATTATGCGCACGTCGTGCAGCCCAGCTGTAGGAACCGAGAGCCACTGCTGGCCGTTGGGTTACTAACCATAGTAGGTAACTCGGGTATATAATTTTTGGTCAGTAACCTAGTATTATTGGGGTAACTGAGCCGCAACCCACCATCCGGTTTCACTCGCGGCATCCCAACTTCGTAATTTGGCGCCAGCGGAAACAGAAGTGCCAGCACAGGTCCATGTGCCCCCTTGCACACTACAAGCAGAGGGGTAGCTTAATTCAAGAGTGGGGATGTGGAATTCCTGGGCTTGCGAGTTCAGTTCAAGAGGCAGACTCGCGGATATTATCCAGTTAACCGGTACGGGTGAATCCTTACTTGCTCAGACGGGACCCAGCCTGAGTTTCGAAAGCTCAGCCTGGACCCCAAGATGCTGAGCTTAAACCTCTAACACTCTGCCTCAAGACTATGCTTCGAGCCACAAGGAAAGCTCAGGTTTTGCTTGGCTTTTGCAGGCCCCAGCATGCAGCGAATCCTGAACTTCGGTCTTGGCACGTGCCGTGGTAGCCTGCATGTCCTAAAATCCCAAAAAAGGAACGAACACGGTTTCAACCGAAACGGGCAAGTTGCGACGGGGTGCTTCCCAAGCTGCCGAAATGCTTCCAAAGCTCCGGAACCTTGGTTCTCTGAAGCCCTCGAGCTGGAGCTCTCGCGGCAATCCTTGCGGAGAGTGTAGCCGACGGTAGATTAAAATCTGAAAAAACAAAGGTATGCAAGACTAGAATCGGAACTGGTTTGTCGATTTCAGCTATCCATCACTCTTGTCCGGTTGCTGCTGCTAGTTCACCTCCCGCTCGCTTTCTTGTGTTCCTTTGTACTGCTGTGGAGGCGACTTCTACAGCTACATGGGAAGCTCCACCACACCAGACTGCTTCCAGCAGAACAAGTGGCCTCTGCCTCAGCTGACGGTCGTGCTAATGTGACAGCCCAGGCTCGTGCCTGGCTCCACACGCCAAACAGAGAGATGACTAGAAGCTTCTCTGCAGGTCATCACACACCCTAATATAGGGGCCTTGGTAATTAGTGTTTAGGGTTTGGCGTTTAGGGTTTGGGGTCAAGGGTTACATCATCATCATCATCATCATCATCACCTATCACCGCCATTACCCACATCAGTATCAACACAGTCATCAGATCTCAGCACGCAGTATGCCTCCAAGCCCTCCGCTGTGGCATCTCGAGGTTCGTCTTCGACCACGTGCGGGAACCCGGGAAGTTATCTTCAGCTTGCGGCTGCGGTTAAGGGTTCCGGGGAAATGCTCAGGTCCAGTCACGGCTTAGGGGACCTGAAGCGTCACAGCGAGACAGGAGGGGAGAATCCCGGGGCATGCTGAGCCCCAAACCTTTCGATCTGTAACTTGACTTCCTTTCCCCATAACCATTCCTAGCCGAATCGGGAAGCCCCGAGATGAAGTGGCATGAAGAATTCGTAATGGCCTCGCCAGCAAAGTCGTCGTATGGTGCTATCGATGAAGACCCCTACCTATAGTCTCCATTGTAGTTCCTTTTTTTGGTTTAACCAATTGTACATTAAGGATCCTAAAAGGTAACCCCAAAAAGGAACTACAATGGAGACTATATGTATAGGGTTTACCTAAGCCCAAGCAAGGTCTTCAACATGTCCATGGAGCAGTGGGCCACCTTCAAGGCTATGTTTCCGAGCCCCGGTCGCTTGCCAACATTTTGAGTTTGGGGTTTTGAGGGTTTTGGCTAAAGGTTTCGGGAATCAGAGTGCAAGAGCTCTTGAGGTTCAGAGTTTCAGGCTTCGGGCAGTGCGGGAAGGCGTGACGGTGTCTCACCGGTATCGGTGCACAGGCTCCCGTTATGGTTTCAGGTGGCTCTTGGTTTTGGAGAGCTGTTTTTGCACAG